GAGAGAAGTATTTTAAAAGAAGTAGTACGTTTTCATGACGATCATAGTGGTAGGGCATGCGGAGTCTCATCTTCTTTGTGAGATTCCAGCTTCGATGCCGCGTGGGATGATCACGGCAGTCTCGAGTGCAGTGAGGTGTCTCTGCTGTTGCACGTTGCACAGACTCCCCGGCAAATGGTTGCAGCTGGCACCGGCAGTACGGTGACATTTGATCCCACCTCACCCATGAAGAGAAGAACTCGGCCAGGACACGTCTAATAAACCACCCGACACAGATCTCCCACCCCGCCAAGCGCGAAGACGAGCTTCTAGATCGGCCCTTTCAGCTCCTCGGGAAGATCCTGACAAGGCCTCTTTTAGGGACCAGATTCTAGACGCCGGAAAGCACAGTCTCCGCCATCAAGCTTCTGGCGCCCGTGAACCTTTTGTGCGCTGTCGCAGGAGCAATCGACGCAGACACACAAAAGATCGCTATGGCGGGGGTGACGGGCCGGAAGCCTAGGTGTCCTCTATGCTGCCTCATCACCCCATCAGAAATCGCCATCAAAAAGGGCGGTCGATTCTCTCGGTCCCTCTTGACACATCTCTCCGATGAGATGTCGTTAGCCGAGTGAACTTGAAGGGCAGAGGACGCAAAGAAGAAGCTCCGAGGATGCAGAAAGTAGCCGTGTCGGGACTACCTAGAGAAGAGTGTGGATGGGCGAGAGATGCATGACCTGACAGTGGTGGGCAGAAAATGCAATCGCCGTTGCCCGTCAACATCGCCATCGCCATGAATCGTCTGGGTTTCTTTGTCCACCGCGCAATTATCCGCTCATCCACAGATGCTACGCTCTACGACAACAGACAGAAACAGTGGGCGATTGCGTGTTGAACTATCGCAACGAACCTTGAGACGAAGCATGCCATTAGACTAGAACATTGAGAAACAAACCGGTCCCACCAATCGGCGCGGCAATCAAGCTAGGTCCTTCCGGATCGGGAAAGTCCCGGACGGCACTCCGTGCTGCCATGCCACCATCGCCTGCGGGGTGGCACATGTGTTCGCGGGATTTGCGGTGTGGAGGGGTCGAGCAAGAATGGAGGTGCATAACCAGATGCCTGCGGATAAGAGAATGCAAAAGTTTGTGTGGCATCTCTGACCCCGCATCGATGAATTCGACAGCGACTGGTGCGGGAACTCACTCGAGTTGGAGACGTCTCTTGTTTTCCCTATCTATGTCTCGTCTCTCTTTCGAGGTTATCGTGAGATGACAGCCGGAGTTGTTTCACTCTCAGCCATCAAAATGTTTATCCCCGTTTCACCAAGATGAGATGACAACTGAGGTGAAGCTGAAAAAGTGACAGGACACATCACTCACGAACCGTTCAAGAAAGCTGAGTAGCTGGAATGTGAATATCCATCCCCATCCCCAACCATCGGCCTCTCCCGCCGAGAACCCAAAAGAAACAGATGTCCATCCAATCGCGATCCCAGCCGTTTAGCCTGGGACTTGCATCTGGCACACTTAACACTCACTCACTCACCTTCCCTTTTGCCTTTTCGGGCAGACATGGACAAGTCCACAAAACCCACACACACATGCGCACACTCAAAGGCAGACAGATAGACACATCCACCCACACATCCACCCAGGCGCACACCAGGAGCCAATGCGCCCGCGCTGGCGAATTGAGTTGATTCTTCTTCACTTCGATGCGGAAACCCCTCCACACCCGGGGACAATGGGTGGGCCGGGACTCGGGAGATGCTACTCCAGGGTCCTTTGCCGGGCTAGGATGTTCGCCGCGTGAAGCCAACCCCGGGATGGGGGGTTTTGGACGTGGTCCCGCATGACGAGCATGGAGCTTCCTAACATAGTAGTTGAGAACTTTCTCATATCTGCTATGAAAGACGCCAGCCCTGCTCTCAGTTACTATGAGACTCGGTTTCTGCCGTCTTCTTCCCTTCTTGGTGTTGTCGTTCTAAGTCTAGAATTGCCTTCCATGAGTGCGAGGCATGTAAGTCCTCGGTAACTACCAGGTGCGAAAGATCGCAAGCATCAAGACCATCAACATCCGACTCGTCAGCGACTCTCGCAGTCGCCTCGTTCACGATGTCGAATTCCAGCATCAACGCCAATCTCACACACCCTCACACACCGTCGTCTTCTTCAACATTATCACCGACGGTTCTCAAGGAAATCGTAAGTCACAATCCCATTCATCCTGTCGAATGACAGTCATCTCACATTTCATCACAGCAAGATGCAAATGTCCCCCTCTTCATGACGGGGCTCCTCCTCCCTCACGCCCTCTGCACCATCTTCATCGCCTCCCGGATAGCCTCCCGTCTCTGGGTAACTCGCAAATGGTTCCTAGACGACACACTCATCCTCATCGCATGGCTATTCTCCACAGCCCTGTGCGTAGTCTACAGCATCACCGCCACCACGCCCTCCCTCCTCGGCGCCCCTTCACTATCCTCAACTGCCACCGCCGACACCGACGCAAACCCGTACATCATGCGAACCTACCTAGGCCTAATCTACTACCAACTCGCCCTCTGCCTCACAAAACTCTCCATCCTAGCCTTGTATCTCCGCGTCTTCGCATCCTCCTCCCGGCCCCGCGAACGCCTCCTTGCCCGCGCCGCCGTCGTCTTCGTCCTCCTCTACACCCTCCCCTTACTTCTCATGTCTTTCCTTCAATGCAACCCCGTCACAGGCCAATTCTTCAGCCGCCCGGTGCCGGTGTGCTTCCGCTTCCCAGACCTTCTCATCACCAGCGCGAGTCTGCACTCCGCCACAGACGCCTGGCTCGTCGCCATGGTCGTCCCCTCTGTCGCGAGGCTCGACCTCCCGCGTCGCCAAAAGATTGCCCTCGCCGTCGTAATGAGCCTCAGCGTTCTGGTGATTGTAGCAAGTATGGTCCGCCTACAACTAAGCCTGCACTTACACTACCGGCCCACCGACGACGCCGGCGTCCGCAATACCCTCGGCTTCTTCGTCATGACGGTATTGGAATGCGACCTTGCCGTCATCTGCGCCAGCGCGCCGACTCTCCGCCCTCTATTGGCGCGCCTCTTACCTTCCGTGATGATGAGCAGCGCAAAGAGGCGCTCACTCGAGGCCGGCAACGCCGAGACGCAGAGCTTCGATCTCACTAGCCTGACATACCACGGCTACCCCTGGACGGAACCCAGCACGCCAGCCGGGTTAGCGGCGCGGAGCCGGAACGCGAGTATCGCGAGCCACTTGAATAAGCTACGTTTGCCGGCGCCACCGCTGCCGACGCTTACCATGGCGCAGCTGGGCCCCGCGAAATTAAGCGTGGGGAATCTTTTGATTGCGGGTACGGCGCCGCGGAGGCCGGGGCGGAGTTGGCATGTTGCGGAGGACGGGAAGCCGATTCTGTTTGAGACGGCGGAGAGGAGGGGGGCGGGGGCGGCGGGGTATAAGACCCAGGCTTCGTCGATTTATTCGCAGGATATGACGTGTAGTGGTGATGAGTCGTGGCGGGAGGAGGATGAGTTTGAGAAGAAGGGTGGGGTGATTCTTAAGACTATGAGGTTGAGTCTTCGATCTGAGTATGTTACGCAGAATGAGACAGACGGAGGAGACAAGGAGACGGGAAGTGTTGACCGTTCGAGCCCGACGTCTGGATTCAGCGGCGCTACCTGGGCCGTTGACAGAAGCAGCTCAGGGACGGCTGGGGGCGATGGAGTCGGCGGGAGAACACGCATAGGGAGATTTATGGAAGAGATACCCCGGGAAGAAGCAGTTGAGACGCCAGAGGTTCCCAAGAGAAGCCCTTTGAGGGATAGTCGACGAAGATAATGAACAATACAGACTGATGATTTGATGACTCTAACGAAGGCTCTCCTCCACGAACCTCTTCAAGTCTTTCCCCTGCGTCTCAAACCTTTCTCGTAGAGTACCCTTCAGCGGCAACAGCGTCGTCGCCCCGGGTAGGTAATAAGTCTCATATGACACCATCCTCACGGACCCGTTTCCCAAATCCGTCAACAGGTTCGGATGCTCCGCCGGCAGAAACGTGCCACCAAGTCCATCGTCGTTTCGCCACACGTTGACGGCTCGTGTAGCGCCGTCGTCACTGCCGCGCACATCCGGTGCAAGTAAAGTGATGACCTCGGTCGAGGAGGTATTGACGCCGGGAATGATACCAGCTGTGGTAAAGTTCATCGATAGGCCGGCGTACACGTCCCCCAGTCCCTGCACATCGGGCGGGAGGCCGACGTCGATTACAAAGGTGTTCCAGGTACTGTAGCGGCGGAAGTCGAGAAGCGCATTGTAGATTTTGTCAATGGGTGCTTTAATTACTTCTTCGGTGCAGACTGTGAAGAGCGCGTCTTCGAGGTCGTACGTGGGCGTGGGAAGGATGGCGCTGGAGCTGCAGCGTAGGGAGGCGATGTCGGAGAGGGAGGCTGAGGCGGCCACGGCAAAGAGCCATGAACTCGAAACGACACGCATTTTGAGACGTTCCAAAGAATCTTCCTCGAACCTAGCTTGGTCTACATGGAGAACAGCGATAAAGTGAGAGAAGATATGGTAGCGATCGAGGGCAGAGCATCGATGATGTATCTGTCTAGGGTCGTTCAGCTTACATGTAGGTCCCCAGGCGAGCTGAAAACTCCATGACGTGGCCATGCAGACACGAGCTCCCACTACCTTACGAGAACCCTCAGGCACACATATGGAGAGTGGGCACTTTGTCAGACATGAACACGCAGCAACTCTACTCCCACCTTAGCTGACGATCCTACCTACCTCCGCCAAGTGGAAATTGCAAGCGTCGTGACATCCGAGTCTTGGTCTTTGCCATCTCAACTTTCACATTTGGTTGGGGTGCTAGACAATTATCACAAGGGAGTAAACATATTTACAGGGGAATATGGAAAGAACGTTAAGCCAATTCAATATCCTCGCTCTTTATGGACCAGAAGTTGAGTGAAGTGGAATTATTGTATATTGTGTATTATCAAGCTACGGAGATCGTAATTATACGGCGTTTTCAGCACCCTCTTCGTGCGGGATAAGTTCTGTCTGTAGGAAGGGCCACGAGGAAAGTTCGAGGGGAGGCAAAACCGTTGATAAGTTGTAGCCAAACATTCCAAATCCATCAGGCCTATGTTCCACGCTTGGTAAATCGCGATCAAGAGGGAAATCCGCTGTAAAGGACTGGCCCAAGGCTCCCGGTTGATGTAAACTGGCAAAAGATTGTGAGCCAAACATTGCCCGCTCTTCTGACCCTAGTGTTTGAAAATCCGCTGGAACATCCGTAGGTACTGGGCGGATGTTTTGCTTTGAAACGGATGCAGTTGCGAATGGAGCTGTCCTTGGTTGGAAGTGACTTCCTATCCCAATACCGCTGTCTACCAATGACGCAGCGGGTGTCTCATTGCGTGTTAAATTGCGGTTTCGACCTATTCCTGAGTCCGAAGAGCCATTCGTGCTGAAAGTATCGCAGAAGGAATCCAAAGACTCTGAAATAACTCTCCTTAAGAGCTGCCCCTGGTCGGCGGCCACCCTGCCTTCATCTAACAGTCCAGCAGCACGAAGATTCTGGACAAGGAGCGGCTCCGCGTGTCGCGCACAATGCTCCCGAAATAGGCAAACTTGCATAGCAAAAGCGGAATCTAGGTAAGCGGATTCAGGGCGTGGCTTCTGGGGGAAAACGATATCCCAGATTGCGAACCATTGTTGTTCTTCCGACAACTCCGCGTTTGCCTTTCTAGAGAGATCGCGGCTTCGTCTATGGGTAATTCCATCCAGCGTTCTCCCCTCAGGCGCGAGTTGGCAACCGAACCCGTCTGGTTGCGACACGTGCTGCGTGAGGCTTTCTTCGTCATCGAAGATTCTCAGGCAGCGGTTGCAATAATCGTCGGGGGTGTGCTTTCTCTTCAGGTGCTGCTTGACGTCCCGGATTCGTTTGAGCTGGAATCGTGAACAGACGAAATATTTGCTGGGGCTCATCTTTCCAAATGGACAGGCCAGAAGCTTGATGGGCTGTGACGTTTTCTTAGACCTTTTGGAAGGTCTTGGATCGGTCGCGTCCTCTTCTGAGTCTGAGTCGTCGTTTTGGACATGTTTCCTCTTTCCACCTTTTTCTGCAGGCCCTAAAGATGCCACGATGCTGCGAGAAGACGATGAAACTGCCATTCCGTGATCTTGTCCACTGCCATAAGGTGGGTTCTCCCCGTCAGCTGCATATCGAAAGCCTGAAACGAGGCGGAAAACCACGGTATTCAAGACTGCCCGTATCGGATTGTCACCTCCCAGGGGCTGAAGTTTTTCCGATGATTCCGACATCGACAGCAAGTCAGATTCCAACAAGGATTCGGTCGATTCACACGGATGAATCCCGTATGAGCATTGGCACGAAACCCGGGAATTGGCATCATTGTCCCACGAAAGTCTGGTGACAATGTCTATGTCTCCAATTTCCCCTGTGAGCTTCCCCGACGACGCTGTGCTCTTCGGGGACTCAGCTCCATGTGAGTCCATTGCCAATGAGCTAGAGGAGCTGGGGTACAGGCCTCCATCGTCTTTGAACCTACATGTAGATTCTCTTCTTACTGTTGACACGGAGTCATCTGCGGATTGTCAAAACTCAACGGTCGTAGACAATATGTTACAGAGAAGACATTCTATGATGTCGCTTACCTGCATCCAGACGGGATTCTCGGCATTGCCCAATGATATGACGGCCGCTCAGGATATTCTCTAGATCAATATTTCTCCTGCTATATGCACCTTTGTGTGCCTGATTGCTAGGTTTCGAGCAAACGCAAGATAATTTCCGAGCATTCGGGGTTTCATGCCAGAGATACACATTCTGCACTTGCTTCACAAGAGAAAGCTTCTTTCGTGTCCCATCCAAACTGACTTTGGAAGCGGATCTGGAGTCTTTTCCTAGAAAATCTAGGAGATGGTGAGGAGAGACTTCAATACCGTTGAAAGCCTTCGGTCGGCGCAAGATAGGATACCCGGGAATAAGAACAACGTTGTCGTTTCTTAGTAACTCTATCCATTGAGACTGTTCCAAGAGTGAAAACTCGTCGAAAGGAGGTTTACCGACCCCGATATCAAAACATACACGCCCCTAGTGAGATCAGAATACATGAAACGACCACTCTCCCTGGAAGTGTATACCTACTAACACATGAAGCGTAGCTATACTCATGATCACGGGAATCCGTTGTAGGACATTGTCCATTGATTGGTGAGGAGGGGCGTTTGCATATGAAGTCTGCAGCCATGCAAGCTGCTCACCACACTCTGCAATGGTTTGTGCAGTACCGTGGAGGTTCATTATGAGAGTACCGTCTTCAGAAGATGCTGATACCTGGGTTCTGTCATGCAAAATCTCTGTACAGCAGTGAGAATACCCTCATTACTAGCCCAGAACAAGAGCTTACCTTCGTAAATTCTGCCACTATCATCGACAGACGCCCAATGCACCAAGTTGAAGATCGTTCTCCAGGTTGAAGGCCATGTTTGCTTCATGTAATCCTCTACGGATGCTGCCTGTGCATCTCCGGAGCAAATTGTTATGACAATGGCCTCGTGCAGGGGGCTTTCAGATCTGAACAGGTTGAGACCGGCTGCGCCAAGGTGTACCCATCCCGGCACTCGAAATGTTACGGAGTGAGTGTTTGGTGGTCGGCTTTTACTAATCTTGCCGGTTGGAAGGATCTCTAAGATCTTACGCCGTAGAATTTCACGATGGTTGAAACCTTCCGACTCATCGAAATCTCGCCTGAGGGCCAATTCTCTTCGCAGGCTATCGATAAGCCACTTGAATGACTTGCTCTCTATGACGGTCTTGTTGTACTTCGATAGTTCCGCCGTGTCTATGGTATCTTCTTCGTCCGTAACCCCCACGAAAAGCTCGTTGTCGCTGAGAGAGGTCCCTACTTCCGTCGCCTTGCTATCCCACAGGGCAAGTTTCTCGCTTAAGGGCATGTCGTCTCTCTTGTCCGCATTCTCTGCCGAAGCGTCGACACAGAGGACCATTGAGTCAAGTTGCGTTGCAATCTCCCTGTATTCATTCAGTCTTCATGCGGATGTGTTCAAAGGATTTTATATGAAGGGAACGCACCGGCTACGTTTGTGTACGAAGTGCATTATGTCCCGGTTCACCTGGTCCGAGGATTCAAGGCCAAGTTTGATAGAAAAATCTTTGATAAGGCCCAAGAGGCGTTCAGACAGTGACATCCAGTGATCCAAGTCGATACTCCCGCTGAGTTTACTATGGATAGTGCTGGACAACTCGGAGATATACCGCTGCGCTTGATCCATTGCCACACTGCTCGCTCCTGAGTATACGGTTCTAGCATCAAGGTCATTTCCGTCATAGCCAGGTGTATTAGCACCTCCCAATTCCATTCCCGGGAGATTGCTAACGTCGATCCCTGACGCATATCCGGAATCAGTGAAAGGGGCTTCTTGCTTCGCAGGAGTCGGCAGGGACTGCGAGTAACTCCCTTCTATTTCTTCCAATTTTAACGCATTATCACTATTTATGGTCCTCTTCTCGTTGTCTTGGGACCATAAGTGATCGTTGATGGAGTGTTTACTTGTCACTGTGACCCTTGAGGCAAAAGATGCAGCGTCGTAATTTGGCCCACTACATCTAGGTAGCATGCCTGGAACTGGCTGCTGCATGTCTTTGGTGGGCGAATGGCCCTGCTGACCATTCCGCTTTCGAAACACGAAATTCCCCTGTGTATTGTCAACAATCCGTCGAAAACGAGTGAGCTCTTGGGGTTGAGCCTTTCCATCTGCGACTCGTTGCATCAGCTTTCGAAGGTTAGGATTTAGTGACGCCATTTGAGCTAATTGCTGCATCAAAGCTCTGACAGTCAGCTTCTCATCAGAGCTCCTAGCATTCTGAGCTTCCTGTTCCTTCGGTGATTGACGAGAAGTCGTGTCAAGGAATTGCCTCTCCGTCAGGTATCCAGGCGAATCAGCCGGCTGGCGCTTTGCTTGACCAGCCTGGTCAGCAAGAGTCGGCGATGCCATCGTTCCTGCAAGTATATTGAAGCACCTCGCTGAAAGATGAGTGGAAAGAGGGTACGAAGATGCTGCCAAGTCGGCGTTCTGTTCAGAAAAGGGATGAAGAAACTGCGAATACAACGGCCGTTATGATGCTGTGCGTCTCTGCTTGCGAGGGAAACGGAATCATGGCAAGAATAAGAGGGGAAAAGGGAATTTCAGCTTCTACACATCAACTTTAACGTGCTTATGGCCACTGCCATCAAGGGGTGCCACATGCCGGTGCCTCATTCGCTGGAGAGATCCCGACCAAGTACTTGGAGGCAGGGAAATCTACCAATCACGACGAACCCAAAGCACAATAGTGCTCTTCATATCGAAGACAGTTCTTGTGCTCTGCTGGAATACGGTTGCTAGAGGCTTTTGGACGGGTTTGCGGTCAACGACTAAGACTTCACATCGCGATCATGTAGGTACTAGGTATTTGGCCATGGAAGAGCACTGCACATAATTGGAAAATTTTAGCTATTAAAGAAGCAGTTGAGGAGATGCTCAGATCAAGTAGAATGGAGTTGTCCATAAACAGATGCAGAGAGGCTTTGATCAGAATTACGACTTCGTAATACAACGAGATTGAGGAACGAATTGAAGTCAATTCTGTTCAGACCACCTCCAGTTACAATGTCAAAAAGATCCAGATCATTGGCGACCATGGCCGATGACACTCAGTAAGTTTTGTGTCAATACGACATGCTCTGCTGTCCCATTATAACTATTGGATAGAAAGAACTCCGATGTCCCCTCGGCCAGGCTAGAACGATTTTTAAACGACCAACCCGCTGTCGGTGAGGTTCTGATGATGAGCCGCACGACAACCCCCAGATGTACGACACAGCGCAGGACAGAGGACATGAAGCTGGTCATTCGTGAATGGGAGGAGTTATGGTGCACAGCGACAACCAACTAAGACGAGCTACGAATACCGGAATCGCAGAGGGAATGGGTGTTGCAATAATCAAAAAGTCAGGTTGGCCATGACTATCAATGCATAATGATGGCCCTCGTTGCGCTTATAAAGTGGATTGGACCATCCTCAATAGTCAGACGGCTGTTGCCGAACGTCAAAGATGAGTTCACTGGTTGTATGAGCAAAAGATTCCGAAACCGAGAATCGAACTCGGGGCTATGCCTAACCTCTCACAGAGATGAGAGGGCATCATGTTGGCCACTACACCATATCGGATGTGGATACTGCTGCACCCTCTAGAGTCATTCAGTAGGCAGGAATCAGTTGGCTCATCGGCTCGAATAGCGAAATCCGAAGTTATCCACAGTCAAACGAACTCTGAATAGGGGAAGTGCATCTTGAGCTTTCGCTTGTGGAAATTGTGTGGCGGTTGGAGCTTGTGCTCAACGTGAACTAGCCCGGAGCGACGCCAACCCAGAGAAGAGTGAATGTCGCCAACACTAAGCCATGTTGGTATGGTGGCAAGTCACTAGCAACTCTAATTGAAGACCTAGTGAGTTCTGATTCCGACCGCATGGCTCTACTTGCTTTTGGGGAAGTACTAGTGCAGGGGTAACAAGTCTTCGGGTCTACACTAGACCTTGATTTGTGACTATTCATTCCGTCGTGCCCTGTAATTTAATCATTCTCGAAGTGGCTTATCTCAAACCGAGATACAAATCTTACAAGATCTCCCGCCTTGCTCAGAGAAAAATCCACCGTCATGCTCGCGCCTTTCTTTGCTTCCATGTGTCACAAACATGGCTCACACTCGTTTGAATCTATACACGGCAGCCCGCCTCTTGTTCTTTCTATTGCCCCTTGTGAAAGCTCTTCCCAGCAACTCTCCAATCGAGGCCCGCGATGGCTCGTACACATACTTAGCATGTTATACCGATGCAGTCGCTGGTCAACGAACACTGGGAGGGCCAGCAATCGCCGACGACACCATGACAGTTCAGAAATGCAGCTCCTTCTGTACAAAGTACAGCCACTTTGGCGTCGAGTACGGCAGAGAATGCTATTGCGGCAATACAATCCAGAGCCAAGCGCTTGCAGTCGACCGAAATGAATGCAGCTTCGCCTGCTCTGGCAACCCCTTGGAAGTCTGCGGCGCTGGGAACCGTATGGATATTTATACCAATTTGGGGTTCTCTAGTCCGAAGCCCGCCACGCTCGTCGACCATGTCTACTTGGGTTGCTTCATCGACAACGGCGACCGGGTGCTTCCCAACAAGCCCTTCGCTTCCGACACCATGACAGCGGCATTCTGTGCTCAACACTGCCAGGGTTACACCTACTTCGGTACGCAGTGGTCGCGAGAGTGCTACTGCGGTAACGTGGCGCCGCAATCTGCTGCTCCAGAGTCTGAATGTTCATTCACTTGCTCCGGGTCCGATGCCGAATTATGCGGCGCCGGCATGAGACTCAGTATTTACGGACCGCCGGTGGTATCATCGCCCCCCGGCACGACTCCCTCACAAGGCTCAACGCCCTCTCCCGTCTCACCAGCGGCAGCAGCTACTGTCTCTGGGTACGTCTACCAGGGTTGCTACACCGATAACCTGCCTCAGCGCGTTCTCACTGGAGACCTTGTCCGCGATCCCACGATGTCCCTCGAGAAGTGCGCCTCGTTTTGCAGCACCTCCCGCTACACCTACTTCGGCGTTGAGTTCACGGGAGAGTGCTATTGCGGGATGGCTTTAGATACGGCCAGTGCGAAACAGTCAGAGGTTGCGTGTGCAATGAAGTGCGGTGGTGACGGCACAGAGATCTGTGGCGACGCCAACCGCATATCAGTTTATGCTCTACCGCAAACATCAACGATTCCAGTCGTCAAGAACTTAGCAACTGTCGGCGGCTTCTATTACTCCTCTTGCTGGGCCGATAACGCGGATGGGCGTCGCTCGCTCTCTGCAAAAGACTACAGGGCCGACGATATGACTGCTGAGAAGTGTGCTAGTTTCTGTCAGGGATACAGCTACTTTGGTCTGGAGTACTCCCGAGAGTGCTACTGCGGCAACACTGTCGGCGGTTCCATGGCTTCAGAGAAAGACTGCGGGCACGTCTGCGTGGGAGACTCTTCGCAATGGTGCGGAGGGGGCGATCGTCTTAGTCTCTACAGCATCAATCCGCCTATTATTTCGTCATCGTCGTTCTCAATGACATCAACCAGCTCACTTGACACAGCGAGCGTTGCCACATCTGGATCAACCTCGTCTACTGAGAATACTTCTTCGAGCTCCTCCAGTCTTGCAGTTCCTACTACCTCAACAGGCCTGGAGTCTTTCGCGACTACGACTTCACCGACTGCCTTCTCTTCATCGGAAACGACAGGGAGCTCATCAACCTCGACTTCCTCCATCTTTGACAGCTCCGGAACATCTTCAATCCCTAGTTCCACTGCGTCGAGCACCTCGAGCATATCCACGTCCCCAACATCGACCTTTACCTCGTCCTTCACTTCTTCAGCATCAATCTCATCTTCTAGCTCAAGCACCAGTAGTAGCTCAACCAGCAGCAATGGCATCGTTTCCAGTTCTACCACAAGCTCGGCCGCAGCGGCAGCAAGCACCTGCAACCCAGGCTACCGAAATGACCTGACCGCTACATTTTCAAAGACCTTCGGCAGCGCCTTCGACCTTCAGACATGGGCGGTGACCACTTCGTCCCAAACTACTTATTCATATGTCCAAGGCGACGCAAATGCTTTGGCCTACAACATGTCCTTTGCCTCCGTCAACGCCGTCCGTACCACAAAGTTCGTTCAGACCTTCAACGTCGTAAGAGGCGCAACGTATCAGGTGTCACTCCGATGCCAACTCGGCGGGACGACGAGTCAACCCCCAACTGCCGTAGTGCAACTTGCCGCCCCCTCGACCACCGTTCAGTCAGTCGTGACCCAGTCAGCCGACTCTCAGCAGCTCCAAAGCTGGCAAACAGTTACTGCTGTGTTCACACCAGCTCTCGATGCTATGACCGTCACGATCAGCGCCACAAGTCCGAGAAGTGCAGTGGCGTGGGTGATTCTTGACAGACTCGAAATCAAGATGATCACGCCCACCACCAATGTTGCACCAATAGTGAACGGAGAAGTTCTCACATTCGCAGACGTTCGCTCAGGCGCAGTCACGTTTCCTAGCTGGCTCAAGAAGCCCGCAGAAGGGAACATCGTCTACGGGGCCAAGCCTGTCTTCGGGTTCGCGTCACCGGGGTACAACGGTGCGGGAACCTCGCGGAGTGTATGGTTCAATAATCAACCGCCATTGACGGCAAATTCTGGCGGACCGGTATTCTACTTTGCTGGGTACGGCGGAGATGGTTTGAAATATCAGAAGTACGTGATGCGAACGCGTGTTCGATCTGTCAGTAGCCAGGGCTGCTATCTGTCGATGACTAGTTATGATGGGGGACGTACTCAGGTGGCTGGGTATTTTATCATGGACGGCTGCGAGCAACAGTGGCAGACGATTGAGTCGGGGTCTTTTACACCTGTTTATGACTTGCTGATACAGGCGCAGTTCAGATGTCCTTTCTCTCTTGGATTGAATGCGACGTTCTGGCTGGACAACATTGAGATGGTGCCAGTTGCTGGTTAAAAGCAAGTACATGTAACAACTAGGGCTCTTCGAGTCCAGATTGCACCAGACGATACGAGTAATATAGCCTCTTAATAGCTACATATGTATTGGGAAGAAATCGGCAGTTTGAGTCAATTCGTAAGGAGTTAATGATTGCTTCTCATTTTGACTACTTTATGTTGGTAGCTAATGGATTTGCTGCTACGTACTTAAGGGAGGCAAAGTCGAGACGGAACTGATTGACTCATGTCATTGCGCAACTCTGATCGTGGGATGTAACAGCTCTCATCGCGCACCTAAGCATAACACAAGTCTGATAGGGCTTGTAATTACGTCATGTAACGGTATTATCAAGAAGATCATCGACAAATTTTCAGCTGTTGATCGAACGAGTAAGCCCGCAGGTATATTGCTGTGGTCATCGTCCGTTCTGTGTCGCACTCACTCCGAGACTGCTCCCTGTTCTTGTCGCTTGTACTTGATGCAGCCCCTAAGCGCTAACAGTACCCGTTCCCAGCAGGACCCATAGTGACAGTTGTCTCAGCACTTAAGTTGACTAAACACGCAACTCGCCACCATTGCTCTTCAACGCGGCGCAAAAAGTTCGAGTATATAGGCAACTTCTGGATGACATGCTCATGGTCTCACTAAAGCATCGAACCGCCATTGAATATCTGTTTGGGGTTGGATTATTTTCCTAATTCATGCCAAAACTTTGACAACTCGTCGATCACTGTGGTGCCAATGGCAACAATCGCATGACGATTTCCAAAAGCCGAAACGCAAAAGAATGGGAAAAAGAAAATTTCTTCTCCCTGTCGAGCAGTTGCATCTGCCCAGTCTAATAAAACCCGGTGGGATGACCACGCGGCAATCGCCCCCGGATGAACGGACATGAGTTCCGGGCAGAAATGATGTTGCGCGGCGCGGGCAGAGAAGCGCACGAACCACTGAACATTGCTGCTCGCGCACAGCGGGTAGTGACTGTGAGAGTTTTTGCTAGGGATTGTTTATTTTCACATCGGAAACAAAGATAGCTACTGACTCGTGGGAAAGCCAAATATGGTGCACGTAAGGAGTCAGGTTTGGTACAACTACATCACATCACAGGGGAACAAGACAAGATAATTTTTTTTCCAAGAAAGGCTGTCATTTATACAGGCTGTAAAGAAGATAAGGTATCTACAGAATCGAAAGCTGCCGCTAATCCCACTGCCACTGGGGGTAACCTTGACCCGGGGCGAAATGGTTTATTTTAGAAGAGCGTAACAAAGTCAAATCCTAAAAGCGGATATGACTTAGATCCTGCCGTAACCAGCGCTGCTGCTGGAGACGGACGAGGCGGCAACGGCGTCGGGGATATCGGCGCTGCCAAACTTGTTGAGAACGCTGGTGTCGGTGCCGGTGAAGGTGCCGGAGCTGGAGAAGCTGTTGGCCTGGCAAGAGCGGCCCATCTTGGAGGAGCAGTCGGCAGCGTTGGAGGAGGTGATGGCAAGGGTGGCACCGTCGCCGCCGGCCTCAATGACGGTCGCGACGTTGCTGAAGACGTTGCCCTCAGCCAGGACGTAGCCGCCGGAGGTGACCTCGAAGCCGTGGCCGGTGGAGTCGGACCAGTAGTTGTTCAGGGCGTGAACAAAGGAGTTTCCGTTGACCTTGGGAGCACGGCCTAGATTGGTGAGTTAGTATTCTGATGCCTTTGCTGATGTTTCCCTTTCTGACTTACCAGAGAAGTGGTGGATGTAGTTGTTCATGTAGGTGATGGTGTCGCTGGAGCCGGCGAAGTAGTTGACCCAGTAGTGGTAGCCGTCGCAGGTGGCGGAGTAGTCGCTCTGGCCATCGAACTCGGAGTTGGAGACGGTCACCTTGCCGGAGGCAGAGGTGCCGAGAACAAGGTGCTGGCGGCCGATCTTGGAGGTCTAGATTCGAGGTTGTTAGTGGTGTGCAATCTCAGATCTCAGAGTGAGCACTTACGGTGACGTGGTCGATCCAGACGTTGTCGGTGGTGTCGAGAGTGATGGCATCACCACCCCAGACGTACTTAGGGTTGATGTTCTCAATCTTGATGTTCTGGATGATGACGTTCTCGGCACCGGCGATTCTCAGACCCTTGCCAACAATGACACCCTTGGAGCCGGATCCGATGATGGACTTGTTGGAGGCAACCTTGATGGGGTTGAGACCGGCCTTGTTGTAGGTAACAGAGACGGAGGGGGCGCTGGACTGGTAGTTGTCGCACCACGAGTCCTTGTTGATGGCGACCTGGCAGGCGGAGGCGGTTCCCCAGGGAGCGCAGCCGGTCTCGGTGGCGGTGCCGTCCTCGTCGGTGAAGTCGAAGGTCTTGGTCAGGACGATGACACGAGCGGACGAGTCGCCGAGGTACGAGACCAGCTCGTCGTTGGTGGTGGGGGTGACGGCAGTCGCGGAGCCTCCGCCGGTGGTGCCAGAGGCGAAACCCTCGGGGGTACCGGTGACGGAGACGGCAGCAGCCTGCTGGGCAAGGGCCGCAGCGGCCAAAAGGAAGGACTTGGCGAACATCTTGGAAAAAAGGGTGTAGAAAAGAGTTGAACGAATGAAAGAATGAGTGACTGTGGGAATGAAACAACAAGAGAGAACGGATCGACAGACCAAGGCAACCTCGAGTTGATATACAATTGAAGGCTGCGATGGAAACTGGGTCTTTCTACGAGCTCACCCGAGCCATTGGATCACCTATTCCCATAGAGTCCATCGGCTTGCCATCGACAACACGATGGATTAGGCCATGACATGGATTATTGGTCGTTGGCCGCGTAGTACGGGCCCCGTATGTGATGCGCGCGTAAACAACCATGGAATTGAATATATGACGGGGGCTTCTCACTCCACACAGAAATCCAATGGCAGAACCAACGGTTACTGAAACAGGCAATGATGGCTGGTCATCCGAAGCGCCATCCCGGACGTCGAGGGCGTGGTCGGGGCGGTTCGTGGCACAGACCTAATCAATGTAAAGCTCCGATCGACGCAAGACGGAGTACGTCCTGTGTGACATTAATTCTGCCAGGTCCACCCCATCCTGCCACGCGGGTCCGTCCCGAGGGAAACGAGCCTCTCACAGGCTCCCAGAAACCACCATAAACCACAAAAAATCCCATCAGCATCCAGGTTTGGGGTCCTTTGCGGCTCCGTAGCTCACTTCCCAAGTTTCCATACGTTGGAGCCCGTGTTGGCACTGGTGAAAAAACCCCTGACTTCCCGCAGCGGAGACTACTCCCCCCACCACCCGAATCAGACATTCCCAAAATCATTTCAGGGGGTGTCTGTCAGACAACGTACGAGTCCCAATTCGCGAGGCTTTCGTATCCTCTATGTTTAGCCATGACAGCCTCTCGGGCAATAAAGCTACAACGAGATGGAGCTGCAGGAAAGACAACATGGAACCCGCACGGCAGTTGCCATCACGCATTGGAATCGCCCCCTCCCCTCTTCACCACCGGACCCGGGACTAAGGATCGTGGGGGATTTTATTTCGTCTGAAACTACGCTGTATTCGGAACTCACCGACACTGAACAGGGAACGACCAGGTGGAGAAGTGCCAGCAAACACAACGTGACGTGACATGAGAGAGGGAATCGAAGCCGACTAAGGACTGGACCATACGGATACATACACAAACACACACGCACGGGAACAATAAAAGTTTTGTGGCTCACGGTTAACTTTTGGGCGGGCCCGACACAATGCAACCAGGAACCTCACTCTCTCCCTCTCCCCTAGAAGTAGCAATAGGGGAGCCGAGGGCAGTGTATGGTATTGATGGCGGCCAGACCCCGTTGGAGCGGGTTGTTGCATCATTTGATGTTAGGCGAGTCTTTCTCGGTTCATTGTGACATGCACTGCAACGCTGTTTTGAGTTTAAGCAGCTGAGCCAGACTCTGTTTTTAATATCGAGTGTTCGAGAAGCCGCGACACAAACCAATATATTCAACCGGGGACGCGTAACATGTCGGTGAGGTGCCGAGGCAGGAGAATGAAGTATGGTCTCTAGTTGAGGTGATGCTCAGCCGCGCCGATGGGAGACGAGCGACGAGGCGGATTGTTTCCGGGGGTTCCCGGCCGAGAGCTTTTTTTGGTCCACGTAATTCCCCTGTTCGTCCAGTCTTGCCTCCACCTTGGCGATGTTTGAAAGGCGACAATGCATGAGCTGTCGAGGAGACAAATTAGTTAATATGGCAAAGAAGTGAACGAGATTGAAATTCGTCAGTCGACGCACGAAGACCGGAGTTTATCCTGAATACTAACGCCGTTTGCCTTGGTCGGGAAGTACGGACGAGAGAGCTTTTTGATCGTTGCATGGATTTCATAAAAAAGTCATGCACCTTGCCAGTTCCTCGCAAATGAGGCAGGAGTGCTCCGTAGATATTGTTTCATCGAAGCCTTTAAAGACATTTGCCAAGACCGCCAAGAAGAATCTCGAGCAATCGGACGGCCGCAACCCGATAGTTGTCAATATCAGATTAAATCATTGAATGGGCTATATCCGTCTACGGATTACTTGTCAATCGACTATACAACACGTATATCCTGAGATCAACCTCTTTGGAAGCTACAGCGATCTGCATGCGCTTGGATCGGACGCTTTCGATTTTGTGTTTTAAGGTTCTCTTACAATGCTACGCCATCGCCAGGTAGCCCTCTTCGCTGAAGGCGATAACAGACAGTGCTATAACAAAATTAACCGGGGTGCTGCGTTCCCACAATCCGAAAGTTTCTGCTGATAAACCATCTCCACTCTCTAGAGCGCACGTCTGGGGCAGTTGTCGAACTCTGTTGCGCACCGGCAACTCCAGAGTCAGTGGTGTTTTTAGAGTTCAACTCGCACTGCACGCGCAAAGTCAATTTGACTGCCGCCAAGACATTTTTCGTAAGTTGGCCTATCTGTTCTGCTGGTGTACGAATTTGGGTAGGTGTGGTGATCGTGGGAGTAGTTCTGCACCAAGCTGGGGGAGGGCTCCAACGCTCATCTGCAGGCTCAACGGGCAGAATTTCGACATTTGGCGGGTTTGCGAGCAGAGCTCCAGATCGCTGATCATCATTTTCCGGTAGTGGTTGACGGCAGACTTGAAGGGTTTGGTGGGCAGTGACGACAGAACCACGCGATTACTGAAAGAATTGATTTCCCCATATTGATATGCAATATGGATGGGATAAAAGGACCTCCGACCCTTGAAGTAGACAACTAGATAATTAACTCAAACGTCAGCGAGGCCCACGAGTCATCTCAACAGATGCAATTCATCCAGCGTCAACTCGTGTTGAGTTGGCTTGAGTCATAGGGAGGTTGAACACGAATTTGAACAATTGCCACAGCAGACTCGATGAATTCTCAAAATGGAGATTTCCGTTTGAAGGGCCATGTTCTGATTTTGTGTATACGTACATGTAGTGAACTGATTCAGCAGGCGCGCGTGAATAGTAATGGCACTCTCGGACTCAGGCTGCCAATAAGTAAGAGACAATTGCCGATTCTAGCTCAATCTACACCGTCGATAGAAGAATTAGTTTGTTGCTCATGCTCAGGCAGAACGTGGAGTACATGCAATGATCAGGATACCTCATGGCTTCAAGAAGGGGTGCGAGGAAGTGCGCGCATCGGAATGGAATACTCAGCATACATGTTGAGTTGTCAATGAAGTTACCTAATTGATGCCACAAGTTTTCAATTGTCCTAGACTAAATTCGTGACTCTCATTTGTATGATTGAACTTGCTCAGGCATAAGCGAAAATTGGTTGTAAAATCTAGTGTACAGCCAATAAGGAGAGTACGGCCTTGGCTAGGTTAATGGCTACGGAAACTGCAAGTGTTCATCACCAGTATCGCTTGACTGGAATGATGCACTTATTACTGAAACTGGACCATGCACCAAATCGTAGTAGAGACATCTTGTATTTGTGTCTTTTTGTTGAAGGTAAAAAAAGGACAGAGACGGCAAATGTGTACTGCTGTTTAGTGCTCTCTAAAGACAGACTATTCACAGAATGACCGCACAGGGGAAGAACAAGGGAAAGAAAACTTGAAACTTAGCACTCCTTCTCTGTTAATTGACTATCGAACAGAGTTCGATCTTTTTCTAATGTTTGGACAAACCACTTCGATCAAATGCCGAGGGGCCAAAGTGCAAACGTAACTTCAGATTCCCGATTTAAGACTCCAAGAGTCGGCCCTTGGAGTCTAAGGTTTAATGCGCTGTAGCCAGTGTCAGCAAGAAAAACAGCGCGTGCGTCACGGCCGCGCAATGTTCGTTGTTGAGATCAGCAAAGTTCAAGTCGAACGAACCTCTTGCAAAAAAATACACACTAACAATAGGTCACAAAGTTCGAAAACCTAGTATCGCGTCTGTTTCTTGAACATGTTGCCAATTGGTGGAGGAATCGATCGTCTTTCAATTAGGTGGCTGGCGTAGAATGTTTCTTCGGAAGAAATGCCGAAAGAGTGGGAACCGATGGTGCAAGATGTGCATCAATGGCGTTCATCGCAACGGTTTTCATAAGCGCCACCAACCACTGATAGAGCCCGGATGGTGTCATTGGTTTAGACTGACATCTTGACATGGGCATCGCGGAGATTCGGCCTTGTTTCGACAACGTCAAGTTTCCCAAGGGACTGGAAACACTGTGTTCTAGCTATGCTTTGCTGCGTGAGTCTACAGTGCCAACGCCTTATCACGAATTGTCAGGTTTCGATGCGTCAATCGGCAATTCTCTCCACTGAGGACCCCATTGACAATACAACTCCCGCATGACGCTGTCGGCTCCTGCCGAAGAGAGAAAGCTTCAATTGACCGTCTGATATCAGAGTTTGACTTGCCGAGTATAAGATGTAAAGCCATGTAGCCATTCGGAACCTCGAACCGACGACCTTTAGTCAAGTCGCTCGTTGCAACCTGCCTCCAGCTTGAGAACCTGCCCCAAAGACAACTTTCAAGGCTTCAAGATCATGCACTTCTCTCGGCTGTCCGTGTTGGCTTTGGCCGGCAAATTGGCCAGTGCCGGGAAGGGTCCCTTTCTCGAGCAGATTAATGACTCGACCTGGGTCATTGGAAATGATCACTGGAACCTGACACAGGGTTCGCTCTACGCAACCAAGCTTTTCTGGGAGGGTGTCCCGGGCGCCGATCTTGTGGGTTCGGCTGCCGGCCACTACGTCGGCTACGGTAAGACGACCATCTCATCGCAACTTTACTTGATGAAGCTGTGCTGACTGACATATTGCAAAAAAAGATGGGGAGAACAATCTCCAGTTCACAAACGCCACAATCGCATCCCGCGGTACGGACTACATCGATGTCAGCTTCTCCGCTGCTGCCGGTGACTTCCACTGGGTGATCTTTGACGACTTGACCGGCGCGTACCAGTACTTTGTCAACCGGGCCCTCCCCGACATTAGCATTCTCCGGACTTTGTGGAGGTTGGCCCCCGACGTCTTCCTCAACGGTCGCACGCATCTCAAAGATGAGCCCCTGCCCGACTTTTCGCTCTACGCCACCGCGACCAATGTACAAGATGAGACCTGGCAACTGGCCGATGGGTCCTTCATCACAAAGTACGACTGGTCCAACGCTGTCAGGGATCGTGACTTCTACGGCGTCTACGGCCCCAAAGCCGGGTCGTGGTACATCCATCCTACCACGGAGTACTATAACAGCGACCACCTGAGCCAAACTTTGACGGTGAGTTATTAGGTGACTCCTGCAATCTCGTGGACAAATTTCTGACCTGATGACTAGGTCCACCGAGAGTCAAAGACTGGAGATGCAGTCCAGCTCAATGTCGTCCAGGACACTTCTCACTTCCGTGTTGGCAAGACAGTGCCTCAGCCAGCAGGTAAGGTCTGGGGACCTTGGTTGTGGTATCTCGTAAGAACACCTTGATCTCGCAAAAGTCGGGGTCTCAGTATCGCTAACATTTGCACGCAAAGAACAATGGAGACGTAGCGGACGCCGCACAAAAGCATAAGGAGGAAGTCAAACACGTCCCTTACACATGGTTCAAGGACACAGCCTACCACTCTCGTGGCGGAGTCCAGGGAACTCTGGTCCTCTCCGACGGCCGTCCCGCCTCTGGAGCTGCTGTCTTCCTCGGTGACACCGACACGACCATCCGCCCCTCGATTCAGGGCAAGAACTACTACTACACGACGTACACCAATGACAAGGGTCGATTCTCCTTCGACAATGTTCGCACTGGCGGGTACGCCGTCTACGCCACCTCCAACGGTGGCAAGCTGGCTGACGTCTACACAAACTTCACTGCGCCCCTGACCATTACGAAGGACAAGACACTGAATCTCGGCGAGCTCTCGTGGACCGTCCCCAAGAGCAAGCAAATCTTCCAGATCGGCGAGTTCGACAAGAAGGCCAACGGTTTCAAGAACGGAGGCGTGCCCTACCAGCACGGCGTGGCGGCGCAGAGCCCCGCAAACCTGACCTTCACCGTCGGCAAGTCCCAGAACGAGGATTGGTACTTTGCGCAGTCCGCCATCGGAAAGTGGACGATCGAGTTTGATATTCCCTCGGCGGACCTCGCTGCCAACAAGACTGCGCTGCTCAGCGTGTCGCTGGCTGGGTACTCGCAGAGCGCGGCTTTGGACATTGACGTCAACGGGCAGGTCTACGGCTCCCTAAGCAAGGACACGTTGACTAGCGATCCTGCTCTGTACCGGTCCGGCAAGGTGAGCGGCGAGTGGCGGTTCTTCCAGTACAAGATCGATATCGACGTTCTCAAGGCTGGGCAGAATACTGTGGGCTTCACTGTTACTCGTTACACTCAGTGGAGAGGTTTCTTGTATGACAGCATCATCTTGGAATGGCTCTAAGTTACCAAGGCATCTGTCACATCGATGTATTTATCACGAGTACAAGTAGCCATGAGAATTAAGGAAACTAATGACATAAGAGATCATGACTACTGGGAACGCTACTGCTGCTGTACTGCTGCCTCTACTGCTGCTGTTGTTGCTGGAGCCGAAGAAGTTCTTGGAGCTGCTGCTGTTGTTGGGGAGTCATTTGTCCCCCCAAAGTTTGGCCAGGAATACCTACGTTGTTGGTATTACTTTGTTGTGCACTCATGGCTGCGTTCGAGCCGCCGCTCCCAGCACTCCCCAGACCAACGTTGCCGAGACCAGCGCTTCCGAGGCTAGCGTTACCCATGCCCATGTTGATGTTGCCCATCCCCATGCCAACATTATTCATGTTGCCGAAGCCGGCCTGCGGGGACTGTGAGGCCATGGGATTACCCTGATTTTGCAGATTATTGAACCCAGACCCAGCCATTCCCATGTTCGGCATGCCCATTCCCATCACACCTAACTGATGCAGATTCTGGAAGCCTCCGGGCATCGCGAAACCCTGCTGGAACCCTCCTTGCTGAGGCACTCCAAACCCTTGCCCACCGAAGCCAAGTTGATTCCGGTTGAAGTCGTCGTAGCGATGCTCTTTCTTGTGGGCAAGTTCGTTCTCCAGGCGCTCGTGCCTGACCGAGTAGAGATACGCGTTGAACTCATGGGACACCTTTGCCACCTTCTCAAAATGCTCACCCTTCACAACGATGGGCCCTGGGACATTATTCTCCTGCTGATGGAATTCGGCTAGCGCCACGGCCGTTTGGAAGGCGTTTCTAATCTGTCTTCCGTTCCAAACTGGCTTGTGGTCATCCCTCAGAGTTTGCAAGTTCCAAAGAGTCGTGGAAAGAGCTATGATCTCATCGCGCTTGAATGTTACGTGCTGCGACGGGTCCCCTGGCGCAGCTGCGATTGAGAGTTCCTCCGTACGACCCATTTGCACTTCCCATATCTTCTTCGTTTGCTCGTGGGTGAGGGGTGGATAGTACAAGGCCATGGACATGCGGGACTTGAAGGCTTCGTCAAAGGAACCAACTTTGTTGGTTGTGAGAAAGAGAATCCCTTCGTAGTATTCCATCACGCGAAGGAAGACTGCATTCGAGTGTCAGGACACGAATGGGAACCAGAGACCGCTTCAAACGTACCAGATACTAATGCGTTTCGCTCAATGTTGTCTTGGCTTCTTTCGGCCAGGAAGACGTCAGCTTCGTCTAAGAGCAAAACGCAATCCCAGGCTTGGGCCATCTGGAATGCATTCTGAAGATTGGATTCCACCTCGGTTGGTGTCATCCCCAAGTCACCTGTTTTATACGTCAGAGCCCCGTTCTGATGAATCAATACTGCGCAGTATGGTACGCACCGCAAGTGATAGGCAACAATGGCTTGTTGTAGTAGGCTGCGACGGTTTCTACGATCAGTACTGTTAGTTTACATTTCAATTGCCAACATAGAATCGAGAATAAATACAGACCAGCAGTTGAAGTTTTGCCCACCCCAGGAACTCCGTGCAATAGCACGATGAGACCCTTTCCTGAGTATTGTCAGTCTTTTAAGGTCTCTCAGAAAATCGCCCATCAGTCATGATAACTACCTTTGTCTTGGATGATATCAAATTGACGCCGCTCAGACTTCTTCTTGCGAAAATGAGTTGCCATCAGAGACTTGATTATGGTTCTGTGACCGTCGTCTATTTGAAGGCAATCCCATGCCTTCTTGTCTTCTCCCATTCGAGTGAGGCTGTGTCCCTGAGTATCAAGTGAGCCAGATCCGAGAGGGATACAAGCTGGATTTCATATGTCAGCGAAATCAACTTACTTCTTCCTGAAAGAATGTTCATTTGCTTACCCCACTGACGTGTACGTAGAACAAAGGCAAAAACTCTGTTGGGAAGCAGGAGGGTCTCATCTCCTTCAGGAGGCTCTCGGCCGTACACCTCTACGGGCTGAGATTGATCGGTGTACTTGAGAACTTCCTCGGCGATTCGAGCATCCCACACTCGATCATCGTCCGTTCCTGGTGGAATGGGTGGAGGGGCAGAATATGGGGGCGATGCTTTCTTTTCTTCAGTAACCTCGGCCAAGCCCCAACTGCCTCTGGACGATCTTCCGGGCTTCCAACTTGGAACTTCTTGTAGGCAACGATGGAAATCCACAACCACTGGGCTTTCAATAGCCTCCGAAATCATCACAGCAGAAGTGATCGCCCCTTTCTCAGGACGGCGTAGTATAGTTCCCTCGGGTTCGTTTATCAGACTTTGACCTCGGTAATAACCGTAGGACGGTTTTGTGTAGGATACGAAATCTTGACCTCTTTCCTTGTAGCCAGATATGTCAACAAAGCCGTCTCGCTCTGCGGTTCTCAAGGGAATAATCGGAAGGGAACGAATACTGGTCAGATCCCTGAGCATCTCGAACTTGAAGTTCTTGAAGACGCGGATGAACTGGACGCCATCGAAGTCTATGTGATAGCATTCTATCACAAAAGGAACAGGCCTCGAGTCGTTCAAAGCACCTCCAAGCTGTAAATTAGCGGCTTGAGTCGCAGGTTGCCGGTATTGTGGTGTTTGACCTCCTTTGCCTTGAACCACACGCCACAGCTTCTGGGGAACTGCTGGATCTTTGACGTAGACAATACTACCTGGTTTGAACACATGCCATAGTTCTTGGTAGTGGACCCGGACATCGCCTGATTCCTCAACTGCTTTTCCTAAGGGAAGCATGTATTCATCGATGCAAGACAGAAGAGTGCCTAGGTCATCAGATGCTTCTTGCAGTTCATCTTGGGTTAAAGATTTCCAGTCGTACGCTGAAGTGAATATGATGCCGTCTCTCGTTTCTCTTGTTATTGGTGGCTTTGCATCCTTCGTTTCGAGATTTTCACTAGCTTCGGCTTCAGTCGACACTTTTTGATGTTCAAGATCTACGTCTCTGTCTTTGGAGCTTAGATAGAGCTCCTGGATCTCCGACAATCTTTTGCGGATCTTGGGCTCAAGCCATTGGAGAACCTTGAAAGGGCGGTAAATCGTGTAATTGTCGGTCGGATGGTTCGGAACCAGGGCTCAATTCGACAGGGCACTAAGGACTCTCTTTACCGCCAAAGAATTGATTGACATCCTCGAAGGGATCACTTTAATATCGTTGTCCCGGGGTTGTAGGATGACAGGTTTAGCATGTGACCGACCATCGGGACCGTTCCGAAAAGCTTCCCTGCCTAGAGGCTCTTCCTCTATCAAAACTTCAATTGCGTACTCTGGAGGTGAGTCCAACCACTCCCTCCATCCGCACTCAATTTTCCCGGAAAGGTACCGCTTCCTCTCTTCATATTTCTCCTCACCTGGAGGTTCCAGAGCAGGTCGACTACTGTCTTTGATTACCTCGGAGATCCAGTTCATCATCTTCAAATGGTTGGCGAAGTACGTTGCTGCGCTATTAAGATCATATGTCCTAGACGCATCAAGATGATGCAAAGACGGGCTTCGAAGCTCTCGCGCAATTGTCTTCAATTTCATATTCCCGAAGCCGCGGAGCACTTGGAAGTCTCGGGCAATAAGACCATCGTCTGAAGTCTCGCTGAAGTTGTCCGGGGTATCGGATCTTGAGACATTATCGGGAATTGAATCGACTTCTTGCTCTGTCCCAGACGGCACTTCCTCGGGGTCTTGCTGGCTGAGAGTCTCTTTTGAGACGTCATGATGACTTGACTTTTGCTGTTGAACGTTAGTCATCGGATCAAAAGTTCGGCATCGTTACGTCCGTTTTATGGCGGTGCTTACGAGAGGTTTAGATGATATCGTTTCCTTGCTTTCAGTCTCTGTATTGGAGTCTTTCTGTGACATCAGACTCGACACCTCGGTAGAATGCGAAGTTGTGGCCGGCGAAAAGTCAGCCCCTTGGGGTGGGATCGACACGTCCAGCGTCGAAGACATGTTCTCTAGCTGTCGGGAACCTGATCAATCGTGAAGCATGAGGTTCAATGAGCTATCGCTACCAGAAGAAAGATCAAGTCGGCCGAGTAGCAACCCTATCAAGGTCGGGATAAAGCAGTAGTAGCGACAACGTTTCGCGTGTGGCTGGGCCGCGATGAGCAAGGTCAAGAACCCCAAGTAGCAAAGAATCTGGGAGTCAGCAGTTTTCATCAAGTCTGCTGTTGGGGGTGACAGGCATCAAAGGCCAATCAACTGGGGCCTCAATGCCGGAGGCAGGCACGTACAGAGTATTTGGGTTACTTCAGGGGGATAATTCCAGCTATGCCATCTATTGGTCAGCCTGATGATGAGATGTTTAATGATAAGCGCTTTGCTTCCCCTTTAGAATCAATCTTATGCAGGCAAGCTTTAACCTGGCAGTGACACAACTCTTTCCAACCCCTCACAGCATGTCAGCATGCCGACTCCCGGATGCTGACGCCAAGACCTCGCCATCCCCCATCTTTGTATTGATGCCAGCGCTTACGCTTACCCCCCTTTTCCGCAGCCTTACCATCAGGTGAACCGCTAGTCGAAGAAGAGGCAGAAAGGGTTTCCACTTGGCCTTTCCTCGAAATTTGTAGGAAAGTTTGGTTCCCTTCGGAACACAATCATGGCTGACTATGTCGGCACCTTCGTGAAAACTCACGCCGGTGAGCAGGACCCGAGCTGGCAAGTCTCAGCTCGGGACAAATTTTCGGAAAATAGGCGTCAAAAACAGGCGTCTCTTAGGTGAGTGAACCCTTTCCTCGGGGTCATAATGTATTCCAATGCTGGTGTGATCGTCAGGATTGATACTGACGCGAAAGGTTGCTCTCAGAGTCCACGAACGTACAAAATCATTCAAGACATTGATAAGTACTTTCGCGCAGAAAACTAATCGCAAAGACCTCGCGAGATTTGACGTGGAAAAAGATTTTCAATGGGAAGATGTGAGAATCATGGCGTCCGAGGCAGTCGAGCAAGACAATGCCAAAACGAAAATGAAACACAATCCTTTTCGCGCGGCCGGGCGATCTTTCCAGCGAAATGCATCAAATCTGGAAATGCTTGTAGCATTTCTGCCAAACGGTGACTTTACTGGAATACTTTGCGGAGCTCTGACCTTTGTTTTCTGTGTAAGATACAAGTTTCCTATATCGTTGGTCTTGTGGCTCATAACTTCCTTTGCGGCAACAGGCAGCCAAGCGCCTAGACGAAGTTCGAAACAAGATATTAAACTGTCTGGACAGTCTGCCAGACATCGTAGAAGAGACGGAAGAATATGTGGAAATCTATGACGATGACCCTAGAGTCTGGAAAGCAGCCGAAGACTTGTATCTGGGAATCCTCGACGGTGTAGAGAGTATGCTGCAATGGATTGATAAGTCAGCCCTGGGTAAGGACCGCTTTCAAAGCTTCGATTTACATCTCAAATTTTCTGCGTAATGATCTGACTTTCAAAGAGAGAGCATTCAAGGTACTCACGAGACCGACAACGTTTGGCAAGAATGTGGAGGAAGACACTATTAAGGAAACTATCGAGGGCAACGTGGCCAAGTTCCGCAATGTCGTCTTGATGAGTCAACATAAGCACATCAACAAATCACTCAAGGCTCTAAAGGAGCAACTGAACAGCCAGTTGAAGTACGCCGACTGGGTCCGAGGTCAGTCTGTTCCTCTACTACCTTATACTTTGCCTTAGTACCCTGCCCGTTCGAGGTAGACAATGAGTATTGCTTTTGACGACCTAAAAACAACAGACAACCCGAAAGCAGAAAAGCTCGTCGCAAAAGCGTTTGTAACACTTGATCAGCTTCGCTCTAGCATTGGATTCGATCCAAAAGTCACTCAGAGAGACATGGTCACGTCTATGATTGATGCACAGAAAGTTTGCCCCCCAGAGATGATCAGCCACGCCATGCTGGCTCTCCGCGACAAGAAGTTTGCCTCTTGGCTCCAGTCGAACGAGTCTCAGATACTTTTCATCGAAGGAAGGATGAAGCTTAGCTCAGAGCAAGAAGCAGCATCTCCGCTAACAATGCTCTCATGTGCTCTCGCCCAGCTGGTAGCCAGACAATCCGAGCGCAGCATTCCGCTGGTGTATCTCTGCGGCCAGCACAATCGCCCAAATGACCCTTACTCTGGCGCCAGCGGCGTCCTGAGGTGTTGGAATTCTCTCATCGCAGAGTCTTTCACACCGCGGGACGTCGATCTCTCGGCTATCAACTTGAGCTTCATAGACGGTGTCAGAGCACAGCGACTTGACGTGCTCTGCATGCTCTTACGTCATTTGGTTTTGGCTGCAACAGATAAGGTTGTCTTTGTGATCTTAGACGGAGCCTTATGGCTCGAATTGAACCGCCATGTTCAAGGATTGGGGGATGTTGTGTTGTTCTTGAGGAATCTTGTCACTGCGCTGAATCAACGAAACTACGGCGTGATTGTCAAAGTGTTGATTACACATCCTTCGACGAGTAATCACGCCAGAAAGTGGCTTCCAAAAGAGTGTATACTGGAGATGGATGATGTTAGATAATTACTGTATATAGGTAGTAGGCATTTGCAGGTGATGGAAGCAATCACGGCGTTAAGAATGTATCCGGGAGACAGCTTCATCACAGCAAGTTCTTCGTGGCAAGTTGGCTCATAGAATTACAGTCATATTCTCAAATCTCTCTTCTATGTCTGTCCAAAATTCAATGCTAGTACTCGGCGCTCGAAGAGCCGACGAGAAACTTCTAATACAGCGGCATCTCCTCCTACATGTGATACTTGAAATCCAATTCCCAATCACCAGTCTTAACCTTCCTCTTATCCTCCATCTCGCCACTCTCAATCTTCCTCTTCATCTCATTGCAGTGGCGGATATAGAACCACTTTCCAACAACCAAAAGCTGCGCAACACCCAGCGCACCGACAGAGAACGCGTTACCAAGCAAATACGGCGCCTTGCGGTAAATCTGACCGGCAACGATACCCGCACAGTTGCCAATGGCCTGCTGCATACCAATTGCCGTAGCACGGCGGTACTGCGGCGCGACATTGACGTTGAGCCACGTCAGGTTGAGACCGGGGCCATTGTAGACGGCAATGGCGCAGAGGAAGGTACCGAAGAATTTGACGCCGCTGCTTGTCGGGCAGATGATGAGGATATAGCCGATGATGCCCGGGATGTTGGCAAGGAAGATGAGCGGGCCGCGGACGAGGATGCGATCCGAGATGTAGGCTGTCGCCAGGAAGGCGATGGCGCCGAAGAGGAAGACGGGAATGCTGAGGTATTGGGCTTCGATGCTCGTGCGGCCCATGGAAACGATGATGGAAGGGAGGAATGTGCTGAAGCCGTAGAGGAGGATGTCTTGACAGAATTGGATGGCACCGCTGTTGCACTAATGTTAGTCCTCTATCGAGAAAAGACAGGGGTAGATGTCTCCTTGGTGGTGTTTGAACGTACCTGAGGTAAAGCTTGGGATCGCGAAGTTCAATCTTGATCTCCTCCCAGCTGAACTCATCACTGCCCATGTACTGAGCACGCTGCGCAGCCCGAATCTTCATCATGCGCTTCTCCTCGTCGGAAAGGAAGTACGCATTCGAAGGATCATTCGGCAGACCGAACCACAAAATCGGAGCAATCAAGATGCTCACAACACCCTCAATAATAAACACCCATCGCCAGCCAGCATACCCAGCCACCCCATCCATCTTCAACAGCGCATACGCCAATAACCCACCAAACGCACCGGCAATAGCAGAGCACACAAACAGATACGACACCCTCTTAGCCTGCTCGTCGCGCTTATACACCATAGTAAGATACAGATTCAGCGCAGGGAACAAGCCGGCCTCGCACATGCCGAGGACGAGGCGGACGGCGTAGAGGCCGCCGATGTTGTGGATGAAGCCCGAGAAGACGGTGGAGAGGGACCAGATGATGCAGAGGCCCGTGAGGAGGACGCGCGGTGTGATGCGCTTCATCATGATTGTCCATGGGGGCTCGAAGACGACGTAGGTTGCGTAGAAGATGGAGATTGCGGTCGAGAATTCTTGGGTCGTGGCGCCGATGTCCTCGGGCATGCCGGCGACGCGGACGTTGCCGATGTTTGTGCGGTCGAGGAAGCAGGTTAGGTAGACGACCATGATGATTGGGACGAAGTAGGCGTCGAGCTGAATTGGAGTGTCATTGCGTCAGCTTGCTATAAAGATATAGCACGGATTTTAAGACTAGACAATACTAACCTTCAAGAGAAGCTTCTTCTCGGCCGCGGGATCAAGGGACTCGATTGCCATTGTGCCATTGTTGGATTCAGAGCGATCAATGTCGCTGCCGAGACCCTTCTCCGCGCCGGCGCCGGAGACGTCGTCTGGAGTGGAGATGGTCGCCATGGCTAAACTGGCTTCTGGATGTGAACTTGTAGCCTAGGTAGAATCCCAAGCAGACCGGTAGTTTGAATTCTGCAGTAGTCGGGGTTCAATGGCAATGGAGATTCGCTACCGAAGTCTCGGGATTGACAAAGGTGGTGAGGAGTCGATCTCTTTAATCTAGAAACATTCGATGGGGCAGACCGCCTTTATGATTGTGCCAACCTATGCGTGATGTGCCATTGACAATAATGGAACGATATGGACAGACGGATAACACAAACACCAAGGGAATGGTCAGCGACAATTACTCGGGCGCGCTATCTCTTGCCGAGCCATCCATTTGCAGGCACGGACATATGGATTGACGCGGTATCAAGGGTAGCATCGCGGGGGTTAGAGAGAGACACGCGCGGAGAGTCACTCCTAAGAGACCTTGGCTAGCATTTGGTCCCTTACTACTCCGTTCGGATAACCTAAAGCATCTACCGCGAACTTGTCCACGGCCAACCAAGAAGATCGGAGGTCCTCGCCGACCCCTGATACTTGCGGGGGAACTTGGGACTTCCCACATCTTTCCCCACCGACAATTCTGATAGCGCTGATAGTTGCTCGTATCCACCCGGCCCCCGGCGTCGGAGTGGCGCCCCTATCGAACTAGTCTCCAGGATGGATTCGAATAGCCTATAGGGACCCTTTGGAATGGAACACATTTGAACAGAGTTTGGGACTTGGGGAACGGTTCGGTAACGAATAACGATTGTGCACAATGGCTTAGGTTGTCCAGTGTCGGTTGATGGGTTTTCTTGACTCTAACCAGGCCATTGGCGTCGAGTCTACGCTGTCTAAAGTTAGCTTGCCCAGCCACCGGGCGTGATGTCAGGATGATGCCTCCGGGCGCCTTGTCCGAAGCTTTCGGGATTTAACCCATTTGAGTTTGATCCCTTGATACATATCAGCCCCTCCCCCCCCTGGCAACCCTGCAGATCCCCCTCAGACAAGCCGTCAAATGGGCAGATTCCGTGGTTAGAGCAAGATAAGCCGGTATCCACAAACAAGGACTCGGGTCATGGGCAGACTATCGTAGCCCAAGTGAAAGGACTGAAAGCTTCGCATTATCATCAAATCATAAGAGTAAGATATACATGTAGATACCATATGTTTCCTTCACACATCCATCCTATCATCAGCCTGAGTCATGCCAGCCGCGTGAGTCCATTGCGAAAAGTCAAAGCTCGCGTCCATCGCCGGGTCGGCAAAGCCTTCTTCCCAGAGCCCAAAGTCCATCACCGTGCTCACGCTCTCATCGAAAAAGGGTTCACCTAGGGAGCTGTTGTCGACGACGGGGAACGTCACCCGCTGCTGACCCGTCACGCCTTGCATCGCCATGTGGCCTCCTCCTTGAGTGTCGCCCATAGTCATTGGCAGTACACTACTGCTACTAGTCGGCTGTGTACTTGGAAGAAGCCCTCCTCCTGCTCCTGCCAGCACTAGCGATTCCGTCGGCGAGAAGCTTGTCGGGAACGGAGGCAGAGGTTCGGCGTGGGCGTTTGTCCCGGACATGACGGCCGAGCGAAGGTTGGCGAGGAGCTCGTAGCGGGCGCCCATGTAGCTGTTGCCTCGCTCGCCCATGCCTCGGAGGAGATCGAGACCGGCGTTCATCGCCATGATGCTGGACGGGTCTGTCGGGAAGGCGACGCAAACCATGACGAGAACGATGGATGCTGAGAAGACATGTTCTCCGTCCATGTATCCATATGTTGCTGGGTTGGTCGTTTGCGGTCAGCCAATGAAAGGAAGCGGGTATCGGGCAAAGGTTGTGTAACCGCACTTACCAACAAGATCTCTCTGTGCAGCTACGGTCATGATGTTGATAGTGTCCTGCGCCGCACCGATGCACATGTCGATAACCCTGACAGTCGTTTGGGACAAGCCCTCTTTCCAGCCTCGCTCTTTCTCTCCTGCATCGCTGCTGGCGCGGATCTTTTGGAGTCGCTTCTGTACAACGTGGAAGAGCAAGGGCCGCGCAGTCATGTTGATGCACTGATAGTAATGCGCAAAGGTGCTGACGCTCTCGCGGCTAATGCTAAGCCGAGCGGGGTCAAACCGAAGCTCATCTGGTAAGTTGCTGTTCCACTTAGACAGGCTGAGAACGATGCTCTGAACCGATGCCATTAAGCGTTTTCCAGATTTAGGCGCTGTCTTGCTGGTCTTACGATAGATGGCGTTGTGGATTTCACCGAGGATTTTTGAGAGCTCGGTATAATGCCGAAGCACCACTGCTGGGCAATATTCTGCTTCCGTCTGGAGTCTCGAAGGCAGGTCGACGCCGATATCTTCGTCTTGGATGGTGATGGGATTTCCCGATTTGACCGATAGGATGCGATCTAGACTGTACACAGACCACCAAACTCGGCGACGATGTTCGCGTGTCGCATTATCCAAGGCGGTCGGGTTGTTATCCTGACCCTGCAAAGCATGTGGTGCCGCACTAAATCCGACTTCATGATGCAGCCCAAGCGAGATGGCCATGCGAAGAGCCATACCGGTATACAAGAACGCAGCATCACGACGGTTCATGTTCTGCATGAAATACCCGATGAGGGCCAGTGTTTCCACGCACAACAACGATCCTTCTTCATGGGTATCGGGTAATAGGTTCAAGGCATGCGTGAAGTAGTCGAACCCTGGCGGACCCCTGAAATCGACCCATTGGTTGACAGAGTAGAGTTGACCGAAAGCCAAAATGATGAGGACCTTTGCGTATGACAAACATGCTTCTCTGTCAGAGGGATCAGGAGGACCTCGATACGCCTCGATGAGCAAGCGATCGAAGCTGGCTTTAGGATCCGTAAAGGCGAATATCGTCCCAATATAGGTGTACTGTGCGGCAAATAGTCGTCGGGCAATGTCTATAGGCGGGAGTCGAACTTGCGTCCTCGCTTTTTCACGTCTTGAAGGTAGGGCACTTGGCTCGTAAAAGTTTGTGTTGGCGTCCAGGCTCCCGTCGTCGCCGTAGAAACCTGAAAGGTTTCTCACACTGCGTAGAAAATTGTCCGAATTACCAGGGCCCTTGAAGCTTGTCGAGGGCTTATGAACGCTCATCTGATTGAACGGCTCGAGCAAGGGATGTTCATCTTCAAATCCTTCCTCGTGCTCTTCGGCTGAGATGCGGTGGGCAGACGCTTTTCCAGGGATCGGAGCTGGTAGCTGAGACTGCCGAAGAAGCGAGTCTAGAACTCGATCAGTATGTGACTGAAATGATTAATGCTAGTCACTCACCATCATACGCTTTAGCCTTAGCTTCGAGTTCTCGTAGATAGCTATCATAGCATTAGTTGCATATCTCACGAGTTGGAGACTAATAATTGAACTGACGCCTCTGTGACGGTGATCTTGACACTCGTCTCATACGTACAGTTCAGGCCGCTGTCACGACATCGTGAACAGGTAGGCTTCTCTTTCGAGCAGTAGGATCGTCTTTGTCGGCAATTGGCACATCTATTCTGAAAGCTCAGCAACACTTCTAGGAAGCCCATACGATGAGGATGAAGAAAATCACGGAACTTACGCCACAGGCCTCGAGTTTCCGACTTCACACAGGGATGATGAAGGCCCTGCTTGAGGCGGAGATGGTGCATTGGGAGCCATATTCTAACATGTATTTTGGTAATGCAGATATGACATATCTCTCACGGAGTCACTTGGAAGAGGTGGGGATGGTCGAGCCCCTTGCCATGGCACGGGAGATGCAGTTATCCGTTGATATCGTCCACTTCCCCAGGCTTTCGAGACGGAGCTTGTGACAAATGGAAATTCTTTGGATGGGGTTGTTTGTCAAGGCTCAACGCGGGGAACGCAAGGTGTGGAAGTTTCCTGGCCGTGCACCCTGCCTGCGGAGGGGATTTGTCGGCGCAAAATCACCTGGTTCTGGAGGACCAACATGCATCGTGGTCTTGATATCGGGCTGGAGGATCGGTGTTTATGGAGAATTCCCCACAGCCGTGGTGGTTATTGCTGGAGGGGTGAGAAAGCTGTTGACAAGTTCGCGTTACGAGTGACGGCGGTCGTTTTGCCGATGATGGAGCCTTTCCCCTTTCGGTCTTCGGTACGTACCGTCTCACAGATCGGATGACGTCGGCCCCTAGATAATCCGATGGCTTCCCAGTCCAACCAATGAGGCCAGGAGGACACGCTGTTATCGTCGGGGACCCACTCCGACGGCTACACGCGGGCGTCTGCCGGCCACAAACTCCACAATTGCGTTTTCCCACTTTCAACACCAACTCGCCATTTGACTCCGATTTCCATCATCATGCCTTATCAAGTATCGGGCAAAGGCCGCACTTCGATTTGCTGAAAGGCTGATCGGGGACCCACTCCGAGTCATCGACCAGTTAGGAGTCTTATTTCACTCTTCAGCGGTGGCCAACTGCGATGGCGACGTCCGGCCAAAGGCCGATATGGCTATGGCATCTGAGAAGCCTGCGATTCGGCCTGGTATCAGCCGCCGGCCAGGTAAACCTTACTCTCTGAGTTTGACCGGATGGCCTCATCGGAAAGCGTATTAGCAAATATGTGACTTCCAGGTAAGCGGATACCCGATCGCGGCCTCCTGCCGAGCCCCATTTCCCGATCTGAGTAGCGGCAAATTGTTACATGATCACGACAGAGGCAGGGCGAAGATATTCTCAATATAAACATTTACCCATGCCATCATCGTCACATTTCTATCACCGACATATTGTCTCACGTCAAATATTACCCAGTGCTGTCTTGCTTGAATCACTGCTATACTCCAAATAAACTTCTTTTACCGACTCGTCTTCTTGACGAGCCTTCTCACAAGCAGCAAGCAGCAAGCACCACATTCACACATCACCATGACGGTCAAGTCACATCGCATTCGCATCTCCATCGACAGAGGTGGTACGTTCACCGATGTTCACGCCGCCATACCCGGCAGGGGAGACATCATCCTCAAGCTCCTCTCTGTCGACCCCGCCAACTACCAAGATGCCCCAACAGAAGGCATCCGGCGGATTCTGGAGATGGTGACCGGTGAGACATTACCTAGAGGACAATTGCTCGACCTCTTCCACGTCGAGTCCATTCGCATGGGCACGACAGTAGCCACGAATGCCCTTCTTGAGCGAAAAGGCGAGCGCGTGGCCCTCATCACAACAAAGGGCTTCCGTGACCTGTTGGCGATTGGCAACCAGTCACGGCCAAACATTTTCGACCTCTCAGTTGCACGGCCAGAGGTCCTCTTTGATGAGGTCGTCGAAGTCGATGAGCGCATCACAATGGAGGACTACACCGAGGATCCCGCCTCTATCAAGACGAGTCCGACGTCCGATGATCCTGAGCTCGTCACGGCCGTCACCGGCGAGACCGTCCGCGTCCTCAAGAGGCCAGATCTGGAAGAAATCAAGACGCAGCTCGAAAAGGTCAGAGAACAGGGCTATCGGTCCATCGCCGTTGTCTTTGTCCACTCTTACGCCTGCCCAGACCACGAGCTCCTGGTTGGCAGGGTCGCCTCTGAGATGGGCTTCTCCGTCACACTGTCTTCCGAAGTTCAGCCTATGATCAACGTCGTGCCCCGTGGCATGTCTGCTGTGGCTGACGCTTACCTCACGCCCGTCATTCGGCAGTACATTGACTCTATTTCGGCTAACTTCAAGGGCGGATTTGGTGCGGCCGCGACGCGCATCGAGTTTATGCAGTCGGACGGTGGCCTCGTCGACTACCGCAAGTTTAGCGGTCTCAAGGCGATTCTTTCCGGACCCGCCGGCGGTGTTGTTGGTTACGCCCAAACTTCTTGGGATGACGAGGAGCGCCAGCCTGTTATTGGCTTCGACATGGGCGGTACCTCGACAGATGTGTCCCGCTACGCCGGTGTCTATGACCATGTCTTCGAGACCACTACCGCCGGTATCGCCATCCAGTCCCCTCAGCTCGATATTCACACCGTCGCTGCTGGAGGTGGCTCTATCCTGACCTGGAAGAACGGCCTCTTCAATGTTGGCCCTGAGTCCGCTTCTGCACACCCTGGCCCAGCATGCTATCGCAAGGGCGGCCCGTTGACTGTGACGGACGCGAATTTGTTCCTGGGTAGGCTGTTGCCGGAGTACTTCCCCAAGGTCTTCGGCCCCAAGGAAAACGAGCCGTTGAACCGAGAAGTCACAGCCGCCAAGTTCATAGAGCTGACGAGCGAGATCAACAAGGACAGAGAGGCCTCTGGTCTTTCTCTGCTTTCCCCCGAGGAAGTCGCTCTCGGCTTCCTCAAGGTTGCCGACGAGGGCATGGCGAGCCCAATTCGCGCTTTGACGGAAGCTCGCGGCTACGAGGCTGGCGCACATCACTTGGCTTGCTTCGGTGGTGCTGGCGGTCAACACGCGTGCTCCGTCGCCACGGTGCTAGGAATCTCTCGCGTCATTATCCACAAGTACTCATCCATCCTCTCAGCGTACGGCATGTCGCTTGCAGACGTTGTCCACGAAATTCAGAAGCCTTCTGCCATCACCTACTCTGACGAAACCAAGGGCAGCATCCAGGAGCAGCTCGAGGAGTTGTCTTCCCAGGCCACTCTGGAGTTAATGAAGCAGGGCTTCACCGAAGATCTCATCACTCACGACACCTACCTCAACATGAGATATGCTGGATCCAGCAGCTCGCTGATGATCCTGAAGGGCGCAGACTGGGATTTCAAGACGGAATTCGAAGATGCTCATCGCCGGGGCTTCGGATTCCACTTCCCCGAGAAGTCCATCATGGTCGACGACATTCGCGTTCGCGCTACTGGCGCAGCTCGGTCCAAGGTTGAGAAGAGCCCGTTTGCCCAGATGAAGTCCGTCGAGGGCTCCGCCGTCTCAACTCCCCAGCCCAGCGGCACCAACAGCGTCTACTTTGAGGGTCACGGCCACCTCGATACTGCCGTCTACCAGCTCCAGACCATCCCCGTCGGTGCCCGTATCTCTGGCCCGGCCTTGATCATTGACAACACCCAGACCATTCTTGTCACGCCGTCCACCACGGCAACAGTCCTCGAGAGCTACGTCGTCATCGATCGCGCACCTGTTGAGAAGGTTGCCAAGACGAACGGCGAGCAGGAAGAGTTCAGCCCCGTCCAGCTCACCGTCTTTGGCCACCGCTTCATGTCCATCGCCGAGCAAATGGGCCGCACCCTTCAGAAGACGGCCGTCTCCACCAACATCAAGGAACGCCTCGACTTCTCCTGCGCCATCTTCAGTCCTGATGGCGGCCTCGTCGCAAACGCCCCCCACGTGCCTGTCCACCTAGGATCCATGCAGTTCGCTGTCCGTTACCAGCACGAGCTATGGGCCGGCAAGCTCAAGGACGGCGACGTCCTCGTCTCAAACCACCCCTCCTGCGGCGGCACCCACTTGCCCGACATCACAGTCATCACTCCCGTCTTCGACGGACCAGAGCTAGCCTTCTACGTTGCTTCGCGAGGTCACCACGCCGATATTGGCGGTATTCTCCCCGGATCCATGCCGCCGACCTCCTACGCCCTCTGGCAAGAAGGTGCAGCTATCGAGTCGACGAAACTCGTTAGCGAAGGTCGCTTCAACGAGGCCGAGGTCCGCCGTCTGCTTCTTGAGGAACCCGCTCAGTACGACGGCTGCTCCGGCACCCGCAGACTGCAGGATAACCTCTCCGATCTCAATGCGCAAATCGCCGCCAACGCAAAGGGCATCTCACTCATCAAGGCCCTCATCACAGAAAACGGCCTCGCCACGGTTCACCGGTACATGTACGCCATTCAGCACACGGCCGAGCACGCTGTGCGCGAGCTGATGCAGTCCACCCTCGTCAAGTTCGGCTCCGAGCCTCTTGTCGCGGTCGACTACATGGACGACGGCACGCCCATTTGCCTCAAAATCACCATCTCGCCCCAGGACGGCTCCGCGACATTCGACTTCACCGGCACCGGCCCGCACGTCCTCGGCAACACCAATGCGCCCATCGCCATCACGCACTCAGCAATCATCTACTGCCTGCGCGGCCTGATCTCCTCCCAGATCCCGCTTAACCAGGGCTGCCTGGCCCCGATCGACATCGTGATCCCCAAGGACAGTATTCTCAACCCGGGCGCCGGCCTCGCCGTCGTCGGCGGCAACGTCCTCACGTCCCAACGCATCACCGATGTCGTTCTCAAAGCGTTCCGCGCTTCCGCCGCCAGCCAGGGCTGCTGCAATAACCTTACCTTTGGCACGGGAGGCAAGGACCCCGTGACGGGCGAGCACAAGGACGGCTTCGGGTACTACGAGACCATTGCCGGCGGCGCCGGCGCCGGCCCGATGTGGGTGGGCCAGAGCGGCGTGCACACGCACATGACCAACACGCGCATCACAGATCCCGAGGTCTTTGAGAAGCGGTACCCGTGCATCTTGAGGCGCTTCCAGCTGCGCAGCGGGTCGGGCGGTAAAGGTAAGAACAGGGGCGGCGACGGGACGATTCGCGAGATTGAGTTCCGGGTGCCAGTGCAGTGCTCTATTCTGAGCGAGCGCCGGAGCCGGCGGCCGTATGGTATGGAGGGCGGTGGCGATGGCGAGGCGGGCTTGAATTTGGTTATTGTCAAGGATGATATGACTGGCAAGGATCGGACTGTTAACTTGGGGGCCAAGGCGACGACGAAGTTGAGAGCTGGGGAGACTGTTATCATTCAGTCGCCTGGTGGTGGTGCGTGGGGAGCTGTTGAGGCTTGATCGGAACATGAGTGATGGAGTTGATTGGGAATGCATATTTTGGAGTTTGGAGGATCTGATTCATTTCTGCGATGACTTTTAGACTAATTAATTCAGTTTTCATCAAGTATCAATCGCAACTCGACTCGTTTGATCGACTGTGCAGTCTATTCCTGTGAATTGACTTTTTAGCAATAAGCCGTTCCCTGCATTGCAAGCCATATCATCAATGTCTACACTTTGAACTCACCTCATTTCATGTGGAACAGACCAAGCACTCCACATCCAGAAGAGTACACTTCGCCGACGAACATCCCTCTGACAAGTTCCAGCTGTTGAATGAGAAGCTTGCCTCAAGCCATGAGGTCAAGTCTTGATCCCCCCCCCCCCCCCCCGTCCAGCCAAAGCAGTTTCGCCGACAACACTCCTTGTCAGCAGGCATTTGTCCAATCAATGCCAGCAGAAACTCATCAGTCTCCTCAACCAGGTCGGTCTGACTCTATCGTCGCGAACTGCCACTAGTGTACTGCCCTCTTCCTGACCCGCTTCCACGATTCTTCCCCACATCTCAGCCCTCTTGCTGCGGGACCCTACAATTCAAGACGACTCCAGCACAGCCCCGCTACCCAACCGAGACATCGTGGGATTCCCATCGTCCTCTGCCCTGGTGGTCTAGCGGTATGATTCTTCCTTAGGGTTACTGAGAAATCAAGACACCATCTTGGAAGAGGCCCCAGGTTCGAATCCTGGCCAGGGCCCGTTACACTTTTGATGTTGGTGATCAAGTGGTGGTGATCTTTTCTTTCGCGTCTTTTTTTTTCCTTTTTGCTTTTCTAGCAGTGGCTGCGTGCAGAAATCCGCGACAACGGGTAACTGGCCGGTTATGTCTTGCATGCACGTCTTTGTCTGCATGAAAAAAGCTGCAAAGATTCCGTTAGCAGCAGACTGCATGTAAGTCTTGGCAAAAAGAATCGATACCCGCGACAAGCGAAGAAAGATGGAGCGGGAGGACTGAGGAGCGCCCCATTAATAAGGTGAGACGGCATTTTCTGTGGAAAAGGGCATCGGGGTGTCGGCCGGAAATACCCCTGTCCATGCACGGCCGGTCTCGGCCTCGAATGCGGGGGAATCGGGTCAAGATCCGGGGAGCGGATATCCGATAGGAACCCGTAGTTATCTGCCCATTCTGGGGTCGAGGGTAACGGATACCATCCCGATAAATAGTCCTGCTAGCCTCGGTCACGATACCCGGCGCGTTTGACATTGTTGGAACATTAAAGCCTTCGATACTGCAGCTCATATTCTCAGCCTTCAAGGTGTTTTGTCTCGTTCATATATCTATTCTCTTCAACGCAGCTCTCATTATCCTTCATCTTCTAGATCTCTACCAACTATAACAACAAAAGACTAAAAGTTAGAAACAAAGACCGTCAAAATGTCTCCCAGCAAGGTTCCCCCACAAGGCATCTGGGCCCCGGCCGTGACCCTCTTCAACCCAGAGACAGACGAGCTCGACCTCGAAGCCCAAGCAAAGTACTACTCCTACCTCTCCAAGACGGGCCTCGCAGGCCTCGTCATCCTCGGCACAAACGCCGAGCAGTTCCTCCTCACCCGCGAAGAGCGTAAAGCCCTCATCGCCACCGCCCGCAAGGCCACCGGCCCAGACTTCCCCATCATGGCCGGCTGCGGCATGCACTCCACAAAGCAGGTCCTCGAGCTCCTCTCCGACGCAAAAGAAGCCGGCGCCGACTCGGCCCTCGTCCTGCCCCCGGCCTACTTTGGCAAGCAAACCACCCCGCAGGTCATTGACCGCTTCTTCAACACCGTCGCCGAGAAGACCCCCTTGCCTATCGTGCTTTACAACTTTCCCCTCGTCTGCAACGGCATCGACCTCGACAGCGGCACCATCGCCAAGCTCGCAAAGAAGCATGACTCCATCGTCGGCGTCAAACTCACCTGCGGCGCCGTCGCCAAGATCGTCCGCCTCGCCGCCGAGCTGCCCGCCGAGAAGTTCGCCACCTACGGAGGCCAGTCCGACTTCCTCCTCGGCGGCCTCACGTCCGGCAGCGCGGGCTGCATCGCGGCCTTCGCCAACGTCTTCCCCCGCGTCACGGTGCAGATTTACAAGCTGCACAACGAGGGCAAGCTCAAGGAGGCCGTCGAGCTGCACCAAAAGGCCGCCCTTGCGGAGCAGGCGACCAAGGCGGGTATTGCGACCATCAAGTACGCCGCGTCCGTGTACACGGCGCCGCGGGCCGGGTTGAAGGGCCAGGAGAAGCTGTTCGCGCCGCGGAGCCCGTACGTTGAGGCCAGCGAGGACCAGAAGAAGACTGTGCACGCTTTGATGGATGAGTTGAACAAGCTTGAGGAGGAGCTTGCTGGTTCCAGCTGAGTGGGTTTGCTCAAGTTAGGTAGATGTTAGTTGTTGGTGAAACGGTCAAAATGTGTGTGCCTTGTCTTGAGGACAACGTGTGCACCACATGCTTGCAGAGATTGACAGTCTTTCTGCTAAGATGAGTGTGGTCCCTGGGTGCGTCAGAGGCTGCAAGTCATTTTTAGCTTACATTCCAGGCCCAGGGCAAAGAAGTTCGGCAATCGGATCTGGCCTGATAGGGATGGCAAGGAGGGACCGTGTATTATGAGCATATGATAGAACCATAAATGAAGAAACTAAATGATAAAGAAGGCATGGGAACAGTCTCCAGTGACCCCCAGCTGTTTCTGATCGTCGCATTGAGTTGTGGATTGCTCGATCAAGTCCCCTTTTGATGAATCCATGTGTTCTTTAGGTGAAGATCCCGAGACAAAGGCAAGGCGAGCAAGGGATTAATTATCCCACCATCCCACCGGGATACACGGACCTGCTTCCGCGAGCTCTTCTAGTCCACAGCATCCCTGATGGAAATAAAGTGGCGTGGAAGGAATCAAGTCTAGATGACGCTTTATTGATCCGTGCTTCCCACGTTTATCGTAAACAGGTGGGAAAATTTGCATAACATGCAGACTAGAGCAGCCAATTTGATGCTTGGCCTCCTACGCGAGCTCACTTGCGAAACCCCTAGAGACGACCCAGGCACACGGGAAGAATAAGGAACGAGTCTGTTGTCGATCCTACGCGAAATAGCGGGGCGCTCGGACTGCTTTCTTGAAGAACTATACGCCACATTTCTCGACGGCAGTCGAGCTCAAAGGATTTCCCGGTGTGCCTGGGTACCACGGCAGGTGAGGTAGGAGGGATGTGAAAGGGGGGAGAGTGGGCAAGCCACACGAGCAAGGGGGGAGTTGTTATTGACTACGGTGAACAATAAGGAAAACGGTTCATGGAGAAACTTGGAGGGATAAAAGAAAGTAAGAGCAAGAGAGCTCTTGCCCAGAAACGATGGGTAATAGCGATGTAAGACAGTTGATCAGGGCGCGAAGGATGGTTTATCAGGCCATTTGCTTGTGTTCCGTCATCCAGGCCTTTCCTCATTTCAGCCACAATCAGCAAAAAGGCTTGAGGAAAAGGACCCAAGGCTGACTGAAAACGGTTAACGAGATCGGCGGTTCCAGCAAGAAAAAGGTCCTCCTATTTCTCAGAGCCCTTGCAGAATAACTCTCAACGTCTTTTTTCTGCCCAGGAAACAGAATGAAAGAAGAAGAAAGAAAAGAATTCTTGCTAAATTTTGGGCCTCGCATCCAAACCTTCGATAGGGGTTCTGTTTTGCCAAACCAAGACATGATGGGTTCCCAATCGAGCACGACACACAACCGCGGCGTTTTTCTACATAGACTTATCCCAACGCGGCTGGGTCGGTTAATCCACGCCGCCACTCAGATCCCCGCATGCGTCGAACCTCTCAGTCTCTTCACTCATTGCCGCTCCAGCTACGCGCAACGGATTCAAGCCTCGCGGCAAGCCACCTTTGCGAGAGGGCAGGCAGACTGGTGGGCAGGAGGCGCTAGAGACATGAGAGGCGGACGCTAACACGAACCGGAGCTTTGGGACCATGGCGAGCACGGTGGTTTCCCCCTTTCTTTCCCGCGTGAATGCGCCCGTCAGAAGGCATTAGGGCTGTCAATCATTCGTGAGGTGGGGTGACGGAGCCGGAAAGACCAAGTTCGAGAGCGTCCTGGTTCGTTTAGGTTGAGGAACTGGAAGGAAGGCCTTCCCGGGCGGGTGTTGTGGTAAATTCATAGAAGAGCATTTGCCGGCCGCGAGGTTCGACGTTGCCGTGTGACGAGCCACACGTCCCACGGGTCCAGCAAAGAGGCGGCGACGCGCCATGTGCTTGATTTGCTCTACTGGTTGACTGTTCTTCGAAAGCCACACCGGATGCTTCCGGTGCTTTTGTTCCCATAAGGTCTCAGCAGTGCCCCCTTTGGAGGGTTGTTCCACATGGGTTTCTCTTGTTCGTGGTCGACTCTTCTGTCTGCAAGCCCCCCACAGACTCATCCTTTCGACAAACGACGACGGCGATAACGACGACGACCCCGTGGCTATATCGACCCGGGGACCTCATGTGCAGGTGGTTTTAGCCAATCAGTTGTTACGAATATCCCTTTACTGGGACTCGTATACCCTCCATCATGACGTCTTTTATGGAATTGGTTGGCAAGGTGAATAACCTCAACGACCCAAGACCTGCGTTGAATCAAAAACCGGTTATGCTTGGCATCGTGATATCATTCCTGGTAGGTTCCTCTTCCTTGGTACCGGGCATATTTACGCTATACTGTCCCAGAACATCATCCTAATATGTGTTATGCAGATACTAGCACTGCTATGTGCTGGCCTGCGAATATGGACCCGCATCTTTATTGTTCGAGCAGTAGGATGGGATGACTTCTTTTTGGTGCTCGTTATGATTTCAATCTCGGTTGGAAGTATTGGCACTTGCATATGTATGTCAGAACATCCTGCATCTTCTCCTGCCTACTTAGTCCGTAGCACGTGCTAACCAGTGAATAAGGCATGGACTATGGACTCGGAGATCATCTATTGTTCATACAGTATGATAGGTTCATTCAGTTCATGAAGGTAACCAACCTCCCCCTTGTAATCAATAACTCAGTCTAACCGCCTAGTACTAGATCTTCTACATCTGCAACGGCACATTACCGATCTCAACGTCATTAATCAAGGTTGCCATCCTGCTCCAGTACCTACGGATATTTGAGCGCGGTTCAAAATCACGAATCCTCACCATAATCATGATCTGCCTCGTGGCAATGTGGGGAGCCGCCTTCATGTTTCTCGCCTGGGTACCATGCATTCCCGTCGCAGCTTACTGGGATTGGTCAATACCCACCCGCGGACGCTGGGGGTTCGGAACGCAGGTTGCAGAGGAATTGATACGGACATATGAGGCACACGCCACGAGCAATATGATTCTTGACTTCATCATCTTTGCTATTCCTTTACCGCTATACTTCAACACCGAGGCCAACAAGAGGTCCCGTAAGACCGTTCTCGGTCTCTTTTTGCTGGGCAGTCTGTAAGTTCTCATCTAGAATAGCTTCCGAACACAATGATACCATCACTTTCCTCATTGACTGACTGACGGCATGATAGAGTCCTGATGCTCTCTGCCTGGCGGCTCGTATCCCTAGTCCGCTCCCGCGCCGGAACCTACCCGACCTTCGACCCAACCTGGGCCGCCCCAGGTCCCATGGCCCTCTCTATTCTCGAGATCGACATGGCCGCCATCTGCGCCTCCCTCCCCGTCTTCTGGCCCGTTCTCCAAAACAGCATGGGCATGATCTTCGTCACGCACGAGGTCAAAGTCACCACGGAAACAGTCGAGACGACGCGGAGCCGCGACGACGACGAGTGCCTCGAGCTATCCAACGGTGGCGCAGGCAGTAACGGTTCCTTTTCCTTTTCGCAGCAGAGTCCCGTGCTGGATACGGAGGGGCTCATTGAGCAGTACCAGCAGCAGACGGATATTTTTGGGAGTTATCTCAAGGGCAAGACGACGACGGACGTGGAAACTGTGCCGGCGTCGCTCCGTGACATGCCGCCGGCCAAGGAGCCTGAGCTTTTTGGGAGTTATTTGAAGGGAAAGACTACGACGGATGTGAATGCGGATCCGACAACGAAAATAGTGTGATGCACAGAGGTTGGGTTGCCGCTGACGGCCTGGTCGGTGATTTGAGGTGCTTGTTTTAACGACGTGACGACGATATCCGGGAGTATTGATACAGAAATGAGGGTGTTCGGATTTCATTTTTTCTCTTTTTTGTATTACTATAGATACCTCTTCCTATATTGTTGCCGAGAATACCAGGAGGAAAAGTGAACTCTAATCAATTTCTAGTGTCTTACTCTCAATTCGTGTCATTCATCTAAGATATCTCATTAAAGCATGCTTTGGCTACCGGAAATGAACAACCTATCATATTCGATGTATTAGTAACTTTAGATTACATCAGTTCGTCAATAAGCTAGCACGTGAAATGTTCCGAATCCGTGTTCCAGCCCAGTATATTAGTAAACTGGTTTACCGCCTCCATCTTACGTGGAAGTGAGCCTCTCATCGCCGGATGCAGTAAGTCCTAACGATCTCTGCGGAAGTGATCGACTCCGTGACAATGAATGCGAAGGCAGATGAGACTATGTATTCGGGATCTGTTCAGTGCTATTTTATTCCCGGAACATAGGCTCGTGATACGGCAAAGCTTCGAACTCCGTCATTCACGAGATACCGGCACAAAGCATCCATCAAACAAAGGCCCTCATCAACCCCGGCTGACTCAATGCTCAGTCCGACGTTGCCAGAGTAGAGAGATCTCTAATTTGGGCTTGCTTACATCGAAATATTCTCCAACGCGTCCAGACCATCGAGAATTTGTATACTTCCAAAGTCTCCATGATCCAATATGCCCAAGTCTACCTTGCGAATCTCTGGTTCGGGTAAGAAGCGTGAAGATATTTTTACTGGATGTGCACGTTGATCTGCTCGTTCCCACGTTTGTACGTTGGGCTTTGGCAAAGTGTTTCGGCTCCAATGAGAATTTTTCAATGGCCGAAATGTGCTCAACAAGATATGCAATTATTGCCATTCTTTCACTCTGCAACCGTATTATGATGCCGCAGCTTGACCTTCCCCTCTTTACATAAACCCTCCCTTCTCGATCTTCAACTACAATGGGGGCTTATCGAAAACAAGTGCAGTCGACTACTTCTCAGAAGATATTTCTCAGAAGAAGATTTCTTAGACGACTAATCCACACCAAACATCCCCCCGCCAAGCCGGACCCCAAACTTCGTGGGACCAAAGCCGAACCGCGAGCCGTCACTAGAAGAGACAGCGGCAGGGGCGGCAGCATCATCCTGCCCATTGGGCACAACCTTGAGGCCGCGCTTCTCAAAAACAGCCGCTGTTCCATCCCTCGACGATTTCCATAAGACGCTTCTTCTTGTGCTCGCCTGCGTTTGACAACTGCCTCTTGTCGTTAACGTCAACGGTTCTGTCGAGCGCTAGTAGGTCTCGTCTCATTCTTTGAAAGAGGTTACTCGGCCCCAGGTTGAAATGTCTCCCATCATGTAGTACGGCATATAAAGTCGATATTCTGCAACCAAAACCAAATGTCATTGACTGATATCTAGACAGGCAGGCTGTAGCCTCTCAGAAGTGAGATAGTGCAGCACAATACATCATACTTCTAACTCCCAGGTCTAGATGCCTTCCAAAAAACACAAAAACAAAAGAGTTCACCCCCCCGGTGGCGAGCTGGGGGCTACATCTCTGGCGCACATGCTGGGACTCGAACACGGGACCTCTTCGCCTTCACCGATTAGGCTGTTCGTGGACTTCAACCACTCCACCAACCAGCCAGTTTTGACCTGACCCCCAAGGGGGCGCCTGCTGGCTGGTGACGGAATTGGACTTGAGGGGGGGTATATACCCTTCTCGTGCGTTCAGATGGAAGGTGCGGTTGACGAGGGCTCGGGAGGGAACCTGGAAGGCGCGATCACCACTATCAAGGTCGTACCTTCCGCGTGATGGAGTCGAAAGAGTGTTAGTCATCTGGCCTACTTTATGTCGTGAAGATGGTCGATTCCCGTTCTCCATATGATAATTGGATACCTGTAGTTGCAAAGACGACGGCCCTGGTAGCATAGAAGGTAGATAATGCCATTGGATCCCCTGGAATTCTGTCGCCCCAATTGAATGGCCTTTTCCATCTGTTTACTCGAGGCTGAGTAAGGGAGCAGTTCTTTATGACAAAACATTACTACTACCATCGGCAAAAGGAAGCCAGACATTGGGAGTAATGTGTCTTTTGTGAAATCCGTTCGGGAAGAAAAAGAACCCGTCATTACCATCTGCAGGGAGAGGAACATCGCGCCTCGTAAATCCCAATCGGGGTTGAACCCCGCGGCGACCATAAGCTGCATCGACACCTTGTCGTTGCAACGGTTACACCCGCCAAGGCACCGGTAAGCTTATCGGGATGTAGATCGGGCTTTGGGGAGCTCTTCCTCATGCGGGGGAGATGTCTAAGCGAGACAGGGGAGCCACGATCTACAGAGGCATCATGGAAAACTTCTGAAAGTAGGGCAAGAGGACGGCAAAGGACATGTGGGAGACTCATGGCTATTTAAGGTCGGATGCATCAGTTCAGTGTTCGTAATTTCACACCCCACCTCAAAGACTCCTCTTCACGATCTCCAGTACTATTCCAGGAGCATCAACCTGCCTTACACATCATGGTCCTCTCCACAACCACAGCGTTCACAACCTTCCTCCTCCTGCTTCTCCTCAACCTCCCTCTCACGACCACAGCCCAACCCGCCCCAAACGAAACCTCAACCTACACCTACATCGTAATCGGCTCCGGCCCAGGAGGCGGCCCCCTAGCCTGCAACCTCGCCCGCGCAGGCCACCCGACCCTCCTCCTCGAAGCAGGCGACGACGAGCGCGACGACATCCGCACCGTCATCGCCAACGGCGGGTACTTCATCACCCCGAGCAACAGCTGGTCCTTTTTCGTACGGCATCACGCGGATGACGAGGTCGAGCTGCGGAATAACCACCTCACGTGGCGGCTGCCCTCGCAGAATGGAACCGGTATCGGACCGTACTGGGTCGGCAACGCGGCGAGGGCGCCACAGGGGGCAGAGTTGTTGGGGGTGTGGTACCCGCGCGGCGCGACGGTGGGAGGATCGAGCGTGACGAATGCGATGGCGACGTGGTTGCCTAATGATTCGGATTGGGATTTTGTGCAGAATGTCACGGGGGATGATTCATGGAAGTGAGTTTTGATTACGTGATCGTGAAGGCATCTTAAGGGATTTGGACAGGAATAGCTAACTTAAGCATGGGGAAAGCCACAAGAACATTCGTCGAATCTTTGAGAGGATCGAGAAGAACAACTATCTCCCTGAGGGCACGCCGGGTCACGGGTTTGACGGCTACTTTAACACGAATCTAGGCAATGGGTCACAGTATCTCAATAACCCTGGTCTCATGGACATTCTCAAGTCGCACTTGCGGTCTATTGGGAAAGACCCGGAGAAGCTCATCGAGATGGTGGGCAGCGACGGGAACTTCCTCAGCGAAGATAGAGACACGACGGAGGGCATGTGGGGGCTGTCGTTTCATGCCACGGATAAGTGGGAGCGGTACAGCTCTCGCACGTACATCTATGAGACGCTGGCAGCCAAGAACGCAGATGGCTCTCCTAAGTGGCCCCTAACCTTGTCGACGAATTCTCTGGCCACGAAAGTCCTATTTGAAGATACGGAGGGTGGAAAGCCTAGGGCCGTGGGCGTTGAGTACTTGGCGGGCAATTCCACGTACGGTGCCGACGTGCGGCGAAACGCGTCAACGACAGGCGAGACAAGACGAGTAATGGCGTCTCGGGAGGTCATCGTTGCAGGCGGTGCTTTCAACTCGCCCCAGCTACTACAGCTCAGCGGCATCGGAAACAAAACGGACCTTGAAGCTCTCGCCATCGAGGTCGTGGCAGACTTGCCGGGCGTGGGGCGAAACCTCCAAGACAACCAAGAATTCCCGGTTGTGGGCCACGCTCAACTTAACCTCACGGCTACTCCAAATCCCAACGAGCCAATCTGCGCCAAAGGAAGCCCCGGAGACCCATGTGAAGAGCTGTGGCGACAGGGAAAGGGCCCGTACATGCGGCCAGGATACAACTCGAACGCGTTGCTTCTAAAGTCCAACTTTTCGCTGACCGGAGAGCGAGATGTCTTCGTCTTCAGCTGGCCAAGGGCGTTCCGCGGATTCTGGCCCGAGGTGCAGCAGCCGGAGCTCCTCGATCCGCCGAATACCGTTGGCTTCTCAACAGTCAAGATGCATCCGCAGAACACAGCCGGATACATCAAGATTCGGTCCGCAGACCCGACGGAACCGCCGCAGATCAACTTTGAACTGTACAAGGAAGGCGCCGAGACGGACCTTGAAGCACTAGCGGAGGTAGTGGCGTGGGGCCGACGGAGCATGCGGGACGTCCAAGGTCCGTGGGGTCCAGTGGATCCGGCCGAACCTCCGTGTGCGCAGGTCGAGAGTAATGGCCGCTGCGGCGATGCGAACCCGGAGTCGGACAAGGATTGGATCCGGGAGCAGACTTTTGGGCATCATCCTACAGGGACGTGCAAGATGGGTGCGGCTGATGATGGCATGGCGGTGGTGGATTCCGAGTTTCGGGTGTTTGGCGTGGACGGGCTCAGGGTTGTCGACGCGAGCGTGTTCCCGCGGGCTCCCGGAGCATTCCCTGCCGTGGCGACCTTTATCATTAGCCAGAAGGCGTCAGATGTGATGCTGGGAGGCCTAGGAACGTCAGAGCCACAAGGGATGATGGTGGTAAGCCAGGGTAGTTAGATGAGACGACGTTGCGCGGGGTATCGAGTATGAGAAAGTTCTGAGTTCTTCCATGCATGCTGAGATGCGAAGATGTGAAGTGCCAGCCACGAGCCGCGTCGCCCTGTCGTCGCGTCGCAACACAACTGGATGGGAGTGTCGCAGTGTGTCCTCAGAGCAGTCGCGTCGTATCCGTACCGAAGAGCGTCATCTACCTTAGGCCTTTGTGTTTTCGTTGGGGAATCTGTGTCGCTCAGAATGGGATGAAGGGAGGATGTCAGGGTCGTCTGATGTTCTGGAGCCTTCCAGTAGGTGGGATGATTGGAGAAGAAGCATGTGAAGGTATCTCAGCTGCAAGATTGGGTGGGAGAGATACGTGGCTGGAGTGTGGCTCTGTTAGCGGGGCTTCCTTCCATGGTGCTGGTTCGAGCACAGCCACAGTTCTCCCCACTCCTGGCACGAGCTCTTCAAATCCGCAGGCGATGACGTTTGAACCTCGCCCCCTCCTGGTCCACTTTCCCCCTCTGATGATGGAAGCTGGCACTGGGCCCAGACTGGCCCCTGCTCCTTGCTTGCCGCTCTCGCTCCTGCACTTGCTTCCTCGATGCCCAGCCAGACAGGGCAGCTACCACCGGGTAGCCCCTCTTTCTCTCTCTCAACAGGGTCCCTGCTCTTTGTGGTGCCCAGCATCGTCACCAGCTGGAGGCCGCCCCTTCTGTCCCTGAGTCTGGGCTGGCATGTCAGGACGCGGATGGCTGCTCTTTCGTTGCCTGCCTTGGCTAAAAGGTAAAGCGCGTTCTCATGACCCTTCGTCTGATCATCATAGGTACTCGCCTCCAACATTCCCATCCAGACACGTCCAGTTTTTACATAAAACCCATCATTCACACGATTTCGAGCCACGTTCTTCCTGCTCGACTCATTTTCTGCTTTTCCCCAGATACCCCTCCAACTTGAGAGACAACGTACATAACCGCCCTTGATACCCCATCCAGTCTCCAGTTACCCCTCACAAAACTCCCTCCTACAACACTTCTCACAACACTCTCAATAACTTCAAACGCCAAACAACCGCAATTATGTCAAACACCACCGTTCACGTCAAGAACATCGCTTCGGCGACCGAGGACAAGGAGATCAAGGACTTCTTTAGTTTCTGGTAAGTTCAGTCCTGTCGGCTCTTCCATGGCCTGATACCCACCCTTGTTTTTACCGCAGCTCCAATTGAACAACTGCTGACATTTTGCAGCGGCAAGATCACCAACATTGAGGTTACTCCCGCCGGCGAGACCAAGGATGCTGCCGTCACTTTCGAGAAGGAGACTGCTGCCAAGACGGCTCTTCTCCTGAACAACACTCAGCTCGGCACCTCTCACATCACCGTCACCAGCGCTGGTGGCGACCCCACCGATGATGCTCCTCACCACAAGGAGAACGCCGACCGCGACTCGGACGACATCACACAAGAAGAGAAGCCTCGTTCTCGCATCTTTGCCGAGTACCTTGCTCAAGGATATGTTGTCGGTGATGCCGCCCTGCAGCGCGCCATCGAGCTCGACAGCCAGCACGGTGTCTCCAACCGCTTCTTGACCACCCTCCAAGGTCTTGACTCCAAGTACCACGCAACCGACCGTGCCAAGGCTACGGACCAGTCCTACGGCATCACTGCTAAGGCTCAGGGCATCTTTGGCGGTCTCAGCTCGTACTTTGAGAAGGCCACCAGCACGCCCACTGGCAAGAAGATTGTTGGTTTCTACGAGACCGGCTCCAGACAGGTGCAGGACATTCACACCGAGGCCCGTCGCCTTGCCGACCTCAAGAAGGAGGAGCACGGCGGCAGCGCCTACAAGGCCTCCGGTCTCGAGAGATTCCTCGGCAAGGAGAAGGCTGCCCCCGCTGCCACTGGCGAGACCATTGGCACTCAATCTCCCATCCAACCCGACCCCACGACAGCTGTTCCTCTGTCTAAGCCGTCGGCCGCCACCGACGAGAAGACTCCCTTGTAAAAGAGTGATGAGAACTGGTTTGCAAAAGGTTTCGAAGGCAGGCGTTGGCTGGGTTCGTTAGGCACAAACGTTTCATGATTGCGACGCATGTGATTTTCCTTGGCACTTAGGTAGTTGTGACTTTGAATGCAAATCAAAGCATCGAGCATTCGTCCAACTCGCTGGACTTTTAAAATCTGATGTGACTGCATTGGCCTGGCTGTGTGTATTGCCCATCTGAATCATGCCGGTGATTCCGTCCTTCGTTCGTGAAAGGTGACTTTACCGTGTTTGGATTATTATGGATGATGAAAAACCTCCCAATTTTGGAGGCTTTGGGCCGCGGTGGTTGACGAACTTTTGCAAAATAATCGTTGAGTGATTGACATCGTAGTCGAGATGGTGTAGAATAAGTCAGGCTGGCTCGATTCCGGCGGTGCCATTTCATACGCGACATTATACGCACATCATGACTAGGCAGGACATGATGATCTCTGGAATTCACGGCAAAGTGGACGATGGTGGTTTCAGATGCTTCTCGAGCAGTTTAGGTATTTAGAATACAGCCTCACACACTATCGCAGTATGCAATGTCATTGCCTCATGTTCCCAACGCCTTTTTGTACAAATGCCACTAATGACGCTTATGCCCGTTTCTTTACTGAGTCTTGGAGAACTTCTCCTTGAGGGCGTCATCGAGGGGTCCCTTGGGGTTGGACTCTAGCTTCTGTGATGAGGGGAGATCCGGTCAGACTCTGAACATGTATCGCGGACTGGCTATAATTGATAATGAGGGATGGCAAACGTACATCGAGAGACTCCTTGTTGGTCTGTTCCTTGTTGGAGGCGTCGTCGGTTCCCTTGCCTGAGGCGGGGGGATCTTGTTGCTGGGCGCCGGTTTGGCGTTCAGGCTCGGGGGATTGACGTCCTTCAGGCATTTTGAGTGATTGTGTAAGGTGGGAGTTTGGTTTGAGGTGACTGAATAGTTTAGTTGCCACGGAATGGATTGGTCGTGTCGTGGTTTATGAGGCTGGTGGATGAAGAAGAGAGACACGTTTAGGAATGGAGAGACATGGATTAAATACGAAGGCTAAGGCAGGTAGCTCACGGCTTATGCTGGGACGGAGGGAATACTCCTGTGGTACATCATTCTACATCACGTTTACGATATTCATCCAGACGAGGAAAGAGGGGCCAGAGGCCGGTCCAGTCTCAGTATGGAGGGGCTCTTGCGTCAATGGAGGGGCGTTGCACGGAGGCGCTTCTCTGACCTCTACCTACCTTGTGCTCTTCGGTGAGGTAGAGAGAAGGGCGCTCTTTGAGTGGTGGGACATGGTCGAATGAGGGGGGATTAGCAGCTGGTTGCTGATTGCGGCGGTTGACATGTTGATGCCGTCATGCGGCATGCGAGTGATGGTGCGCTGGTGGTTGGATGGAAGGTGACGGGCAGGTAGGTGCTTGGAGCTCGAGGGGCGGCGTTGGGTTTGACGTCACCTTCCGTTTGTTGAGGATGAGGAGGGAAAGCTCGCTCGATTCGATGGCTTGCTTTATCGATAAAGCTGTCCAGGCTGAGGTGTCTTATCCGTTATCTTATCTAATCTACGAGCAAGCATTGTCGAAGTTTGGTGGGTCCGGACAGTGAGCGGGAATATCGCCGAGCTCGGCGGGAATCCAAAAGACGGAGCGCAGGAGCTGCAAGGGGGACGACAGCGGAGGGCCCGCTGAAGAATGTCGCTAGGAGAGTAGCCGACCGGAGCGGACGCCTTCCGGTACTGGGCTAGGGACCTACCTAGGGGTGCGTGTCGCGGTAGCTTGCATCGCAGGTGACGCCTGCCATCGCGGTCGATTGATGGTAAGATCATTCTCGTGAGTCTCGTCTCTCATCTTCTGTCCCACCGATGGGGTCGGATCGTCTTCGCTGTGAAATTAACAGGCACGGAAAAAGCAAAGTCGTGGTTCCTCTGCAAATTGTCGGAAAATGGGATGTCTCATGTTTCCGCCTCAGACACATCGTGAGTCGAATCAAATATTAGTCGGAGTAGCTGCCTGCCGTGAGGTGCCGTGTGTGGTGCCGTGTCTTCATGCGTGGATCCAAAGTTCGTGGACTATGGGACTTTGGTATAGTATCCGTTCGTCGATGCCGATCTGTACGAATGTTGACTGTGTTGTAACTCGAGCGGCGCAGCCAAAACAATTCGATAATTCCCATGTTGTGATGCAGTGGAGCGCGCCAAGTGATTATGGTCGTCCCATCCCCAACGCTCCCGCATATCCAGATGAACACGGAGAGAAATGCTGCCCTGAATGCTGCGAGGAGTGCGAGGGTGCCATGGTTAATTAATAGAAACCTGCCCCTTCCAGGCCCTTCAGGCTTCACCACGCGGCCTGGAGCATCGCAAAAAAACAGGCTTCAGCCCTTCGGCACGATATTGAGGGAGCATTGGGGCATTTCGGGGTCCCTGTTTTTGGGCGTTATGGACAAGGGAAGCAATAGTAAGAAAAAGTCTAAATCGCGGGGCACACCACCCGAACGGGCAAAACAGGCACAGCGTTGATGGTAATCATGGCAGAAGGACGGGCTTGCTTGTCTGTTTGGAACTCGGGGATATTGGAAATGCGACTATTGGTGATTTACTCAGGCTTAGGAAGCACGAAAGTGGTGTCATGTCTCACTGCCTCGGCCGAGCGGTTTCGAAGCCCATGAGATGCCCCGTGGATGATGGCGGATCGGCTTGCAATGTTTCGATCCACGAACAAACGGGGGGCTACTAGTAAACACGGCACATGCACGGTAGTCAAGGGATGACAGGACGGGAAGCCACATGGACAACACACGGATGGGGCAAGCTGCAATAAAAAGTTGGCTAAGAACAAGCGGCAGATGCCAAACGGACAATAAGACGAGCGAAGAAGGAAGCGACGAGTTGACGATCATCAACGACGAGTCCGTAACTGGGAAGGCGGCTCTTGCTTGCCTTGTCGAATTGGGAAAGGAGCGGGTTTGTCTCGCGGCAGGTGCTCCAAGCTAAGACCAGAAACAGCCGAAAGAGGGAAGGCAAAGCCCACCTCAGACTCAGACTCCAGAGTGTAAAGGGAGGAAAGGGCGGGTTGGGGGTGATGGAGTCATTGGGATCAACAACAATGGGTGGTCCCTGCCTCAAGTGTCTTGTGCCTTGTACCTTAAGTTGCGCTTCTACCAGGAAGGTTGCACCTCGCACCAGCCCACCTGCCACACGACCTTTGTTTGTTTGACGAAGGAAGGCACAAGGTGCGACCCCGTCGGAAGGAAAACTCTACCTTTTTTTTTTTTTGACTTCACTCCCTCACGATTGTTTCTCTTATCCCAACACACCCAAACACCTTTTTTTCGATTCAACGATTCAGCCAAGCTCAAGCCGTAGCTTGCTTCACGATAGCAACATACGATCACGAAGAAACACTAGAATCAACAAGCATGAACAACAAATAACTAGAAATGCCGTACAAATTGGTCGCTAAGACTACTAAACACCATTGCTATTCTTACAAGACCAGATCCAAACATTTTTGCTAGAAAGCCCCGAAAAGCCGTACAAATGACACGCCAAAGAAATTACATGTCCGTAAACCATCGTCAAAACAGTATCCGATAGATCCACCGCGCGAGTACAACAAATCATGCAATCATTAGATGCGCTTATTTCTTCTTGCCGCCACCAAGAGCCTTGGTCAAGCTGCCGAGGCCGAGGCCATCCAGCAGGCGGTTGAGACCGAGGGTTCCGAGCAGACCATCGACAATCTTGCCGAGGCCAAGACCGTTGAGAAGACGACCAACCAGGTTCAGGACACCAGTCAGCAAAAGACCGACGGCAGCCAGAATTTGGAACAAAGGCTCGGTGAGAAGTCCCCAGAGAGGGTTGAGCTCGGCCTTTGCCTTGGGAAGGTCCTCAAGCTTGCGCTTGGCACCTTCGACGGTTTCGGTGATGGTACCGGTCAGCTGTCATCAACGTTAGCATGTATTCAAGGTCATGATGATATTCGTATCAGAGATAAACTCACCTCCTTAAGGACCTCGGCGAGGTGGTGTTCCTCGGGAGTAGCCTCACGAGTCTGGGCCTTGGCCTTGGCGTTCTGCTGGATGCGTCCATCGGGGTCCAAGGCACGAACGCTGCCGTTCAACTCAGTCAAGAGCTTGCCACCCTCCTCAATGAGAGGCTTGACATCCTTGACCAGCTGCTCCTCGTCACGCTCCTCCTTGGGCTGGCGCTCAGCGGCCTCAATCTTCTGCGTAATCATCTTGCAAATGGGACGGAGACGATCCAGGCCCTGCTCAATCAAGCCACCGAGGTTCTTGGCCAACTTGCGGTCGGCCTCAGCCTCGATGCGAGCCTGCTTCTCCTCCTCGGTCTCCTCGGGAGTCTCCTCCTCCTCGACGATATCCTCGACGAGGGTGACGTGTCCGACGACACGGTCCTTGGAGTCGACAACGTCATTATCGCTGTTGACCTCCTTGCCGGAGCAAATGGTGACCTCGCCAGTGGTAAGTCTGCCGATGATGTTTCCATCTTCGTCGCAGACCTCACCGTTCTTGTTGACCTTGCGGCCCTCCATAGGTCCCTTCTTCTGAGGAAGATCGGAGATGGCAGTAACGTGACCAACAACGCGGTCCTTGGAGTCAACAACATCGTTGTCCTCGTTGACCTTCTTGCCGGCGCAGATGCTGAGCTCACCGCTGGTAAGCTTACCCAGAGTCTCGCCATTGTCGCTGACGACGAAACCTTCCTTGTTGACAACCTTGCCTTCCATGGGGCCCTTGGGCTCAGGAATGTCCTCGAGAAGCTCGACATGACCGACGACACGTCCCTTGGAATCAACAACATCGTTGTCCTCGTTGACGGGCTTGCCGGCGCAGGCCTTAATCTCACCAGAGGTAAGCTTGCCAATCACGTCGCCATCCTCATCAACAACCTCGCCGCTGCGGTTAACCTTGCGGCCTTCCATAGGTCCCTTCTGTCTCTCGGGAGCAGCCTCGGGCTCCCAGCGCTCAGCTTTTCCGAGCAGGTTGCCATTGCGGTCGAGAATATCACCATCCTCATCGATGGGGCGGCCGAAGAGAACCTTGGCGTCACCCTGGACAAGACGACCGACAATGTCTCCGGAGGGAGTGACAATGGTACCGTCCTTGGCGACAGTGCAGCCAGGGAGCTCAGCGAAGGGACCCTCCTTGGCTCCCTCACGGTCACCCTCAGCGACAAGCTCAGCTCTTCCGATGATGTCACCGGATTCGCTGCGGACATTTCCTTCCTTGTCGCACATACGACCGATCAGGCGCTTGATGTCACCCTCGACAATGCGGCCATAGATGGTACCGTCCTTGTCGACGACATTGCCAGCCTTGTTGACACGCTTGCCAGCGAGGGCAGAGTTGTCAACAGGTGCCTCCGGTTCAGGCTCAGGCTCAGACTCGGGTTCCCAACGCTCGGCCTTGCCAATGGCATTGCCGCTCTTGTCAAGAATGTCACCGTCGTCGTCAACCTTCTTGCCCTTGAGCTTCTTCGGGTCACCCTCAGTGACACGACCGACGATGTCGCCCTCAAAGAGAACGTGTCCGTTGGACTCGACGGTTGCGCCAGGGAAGTCCTCGAAGGGAGCAGGCTCGCTAAGCTCCTCACGCTCAGTCTCGGGAATGGGCTCGGCCTTGCCAATAACCTTGCCGCTGTCGTTCCAAATCTCACCGAGCTCGTTGGCCTTGCGACCAACCAAGTGCTTGAGGATTCCGGAGACGATGCGACCGACGGCCTCACCCTTGTCGTTGACGAGGTTGCCAGCCTTATTGACCTTGGCACCCTTCAGAATGGAGAAGTCAATGGTGTCCTTGAGAAGCTCCTCAGCAACCTCAGACTTGAGCTCGGCCTTGCCAATGATGCTGCCGCGCTCGTTGACAATGTTGCCCTCGGCATCGAGGGTCATGCCAACAAGTTCCTCCGGGTTGCCCTCGGCGATGCGACCGATGGAAACATCGTCGAAGACGACCCTTCCTTCCTCGTCAACCTGGGCGCCAGGGAACTTCTCGAATGGCTGGAGAAGCTTGTCGCCGGCAACAGAGACGGTGCGCTGGTCTTCGGGAATGGCAGAGCGGATGGTGCTGAGGACGCTCTTGATATCATCCTTGATGGTAGACTTGGGAGCAGACTCAGAAGCAGCGGTGACGTCAATGTCAGGAACATCGCCAGTCTTCGCAGTAGCGGTCTCGGCGACATCTTCGATACCCTCCACACCGGAGTCCACACCCTCGTCGATGGCCTCAAAGCCCTCGCCCTCGACACCCTCAGTGACACCCTCGGTCTTGGGGAACTCGCCAGTCTGAGCATCCTCGGGGACCTCGGATTGCTCCTCGGGGTTCTGCTGGTTCGCCCAGTCCTCAGTGGCATCGGATTCACGAGCAGTCTCGGCACCGGACTTGGCGTCCTCAACCTGAGAGGCTAGATCCGAAGGAAGCTTGGAAACAAGGTCGGTGGGAAGCTTGGACTGAGCGTCGAATGGAATCTGCGATACGGGGATGTCGGCAGTCTGGATATCTTCCGGAAGCTCACTCTTCAGACCGTCGGGAATCTGCGAGACGGGAATGTCGAGAGTGGCGATGTCATCCGGGACACGGGACTGAGCATCAGTCTGGGCAGTGCCCGCCTTCTCAGTCGCGTCATCCTTGACGGTCTCGGCACCCTCTGTCGCCTCTTCGATGGGCTCGGCGTCGACCTCTTGCAAATCACTCTTGCCGTCGATTGTCGATTGTTCTGTGAGGTCTGTCTTGGCGCCTTGGGAATCTTCAGTCTCTGTTTGGGTGTTCTCTCCGCCGGTTGTGAGCTTACCATCAGCGTCAACGTCGGGTTGCGACTTTTCGACATCCTGGAGATCGATTGGGGCAACCTCTGATGTTGTCTCGTTGTTCTCGAAGAGGTTCTGCTTCGCGTTCTCGGTCAAGGAGGCCTTGTCATCTGCCTCCTCCTTCTGCTCAGCAAGAAGCTGGGTGAGCTTCTCATCCTTGTCGGTGACAGACTGGTCGCGGTTCAATGGCTCGGTGCCACCGAGGACGCCGCCAAGAGGGCCGCCACTTTGGCTCTGGCCCAAAACACCTCCAAGCAGGCCGCCGAGGGCGTTGTCTGAAGATGTGCCCTTCTCGGACTGACCGCCGAGAGCTCCGGTAACGTTGCCCAGAGTATTACCGACAAGGCCGCCTTGGGAACCCTTCTCATCTTGACCACCACCAAGGACGCCGCCGAGCACACCGCCCTGGCCTTCGCCCAGACCAATACCCTTGGTCAGGTCGCCGACAAGCGGTAATGTGCGGTTGACAGTCTGAACAGTGCCGTCGACAGTGTCGACGATGCCCTTGACGCCCTTGGTGGCGCCCATGATGCTGAAGCCACCGCCCTCCTTGGTCTCGCCCCCTTCCGTCAACTCGCCGAGGGGAAGAGCCTTGCCGATAACGCCGCCGTCCTTGCCGATGATATCGCCTGTCGCGGTAACGACGTTGCCGACAAGCTCTCCGGCCTCGCCTTCTGTGACCTTGCCGACAGTCTTGCCGGTCTCGTCTACCACCTCACCGGTCTTGCCAATGACACCGGCAACGAGGTTGTCGCCATGGTCTTGAATATCTTGCTCGACCGAGTATGCTACGAAGGGTCAGTGTTCGACTCATCATGAGTCGTGTGTAAGTGAACTCACTTGACTTCTGCTCCTCACCCTTTCCCCAACCACCGGGCATGCTGCTGCCTGACTTGGATGCAGCTCCGACCATATTGTTTGTCTTCTTATTGTTTCTTTCTTGTTGTTCTTGTTCGTGTCTTGATAAAAATTCGTTGTACTCAGCGCTAACAGGGTATCTTAGAAAATGTAGCTGTTCATGAGATGATTGCATTGAATTGGGAGAGGAAAGTCAAAATCAGATACAAAGACCTGCCGGTCAGACGTCTTATACCTCAAATCCTCCAACGCAAATCAAGTTTCCAGCTGAACGTCGGCTCCCAATCTTACGTCAAGGGGAGCTCAAGCTCGAGGAGCTTCCCTCGTCTATCGAAGCTCTGGCCCTTGCTCGCGCCACAGGGTGACTTCATGGGGGGAGGGATGGCCAGCTTGCCAGTCGCCCATCATGACGCAAAGCCACACCTCGTCCGAGCCCTTGGACGGCTGGATCCCAGCTATCATGACGCAACCTTACTTGAGAAGGGGAGATGCACCTTGGGGTATGGTGTGACAGTCAGCCAGCCTGGGGAATTACCATTGGTTTCCTGATCGATCGACGGCCACCTTTCTTGGAGACGCTCAGTTGGTGTGGCTAGTGCTTCCCGGGGGTCTCCCTGCCCTGCATCATTCATTCGTCAGTTCCTCCACACACAGTCCCCCCGGTCACTTCCAACAACTTTCTTTTCCAAAATGCGGATTGCGAAGTTCATGAAGGCTGGACTCGCATGCACAGCGGACGTCATGACGCTGTTCGAAACACGAAAAATCAACTACTATTCGTCACGCTCTGCAAGTTCCCAAATCACCATCCGCGTCTATGCGCCCGCAAGCATCCGAAAGTCTCGCCCTTGTTCTCCTTTTCAGCCTCACACATTGGGCCAGGTAATGGGTCTCGAAGCCACAAGTTTGTGCAAACGGTTCGTTGCCAAGTTCTGTCTGGATGGCAACTACGATTCAAACCCTGGCCTATGTCCATCTCACTACCGTCTGAACGCCGCCGCATGCTAGTATCTACCGCTGGTTCCAGAACTCCTGAAGATCAACAACCTATCCAAAATACGTAAATCCCATTACATGGCTCATCTGGTTCCTATATGGATATTGGGATTCCCACCACCGTGAAATACAGTTGGGATCTTGATGATGAGCTGAATACCATCATTGGTTGACTTGACGTCCATGAATATCTCGGACGGGCTGGGAGTATCAGCTGATGGCTTAGACTGTCGATGAGCAGTACATTGAGGGCAGCTAGTATGCGTGTCGGGCATGTAACCGGGTCGAGGATTGCTGGACTGGTTTGAGCTACTCGACTGGCCTGTCTGCTGAACAGACTTTGCCAGAGGAGCGCCGTCAAAATGACCGACGACATTGTTATGCTTGTCGAGGATGTTCCCCAAGTGGTCCACCTTCAGTCCGTCTCCCATGCCTTCAATGGGCTTAGGAGACGGAGGCGTTGGTGGAATGGTATCGTTCTCCGCTACGTAACCGACCACCTCGCCGTCTTCGCTGAAGATCTCGCCCGTTACTGAGACTGGTCGTCCGATCATGGACGGCAGGTCACCTTCCACACGTCCAAGCACTTGACCATTCCAGTCCAAAATGTTTCCAAACTCATCAACGTACTTGCCATCCAGACCTTGCGCTAGCTCAGCAAGGTTTGGGGGCAACCTAAGGTCTGAAGACAGAGGTGTGACCTTTGGGATCGCGATCGGGGCATTCTTTTCTTGTGGCTTCGGGGTGTTGCCTTGCGACGATGATTTGACATCTTGCGAGCCCTCGTCTATGCCATTGTCTGTGGTCTCGGTTGTCGGCGGTGTTGATGCCTCGGGACCCGTTTGGTATTGTGTAGACGATGGCCTCATTGGGATAGGTATCTCCCGCGAGCCCTGCAGGTGGACAGGCCCGCCTTGCTCTGGTTGTGGGGTGCTCGTGTAGCTAACCTGTCGATGAGGATACTCCGGAGGATTGGTTTCATGGAATGGCGCCGGCGAGGAAGCTGCCCGCGACTGGGAGTTCAGACGAGGCAGAGGCGGGCGTGAGAAGGTGGCTTTGGGCGCCTCTTCCACCCCAGCCTGTCCATCCTCGACCTCGACAACCTCATACTCATCGTGCCGGGAAGTATGATCATGATCGCTGGCTCCAGCCGCAGGTCGTGGCTCGGTATGGTGCATAGTGTGCGACGAGGATTCCGGGCGCGCAGGTACGGGACTTTGCATAGATTGCTGTGCAGGCGGCTTTGAGGCAGGGCTGTCGGGTTCGTCGCGGAGAGTTTGGAGTGGAGTCTGCTGAGCAGGAGCGGACGCCGTCATCATTGGATGATTCTGTGGGAGAAGAAGGATGTTCCGCGTCAGCTAGGCCTTGCTTTCAAAGAGAGGGGAAAGGGGAGGGAAGGGAAGCGAGGCCAGGACCGCCAGCTGTAAAGGAATGGAGAGCCGGCAACCCACCTGAGGATCGATCGACCGACCTGCTTGCTTGCTTGCTTCAGAGAGTCTGGGCGGCGGTTGAGAGAGAAAGTGAGGTGTGAGGAGGGACGGTGTTCGGTGTTGCTGTCGAGTGCGCGTGAGTGCGTTTCTCTCGGTGCACCCCTTGGTCGATACACGCGGGCAGAGGTTTTCTGATTGCTCGCGGGGCGCGGGCAGCGGTTCTGCAAGGCCTGCAAGGCAGAAGGGGGTTGGCTGAGTCGTTGTGACGTCAGGTCAACGATGAGATCGAGAGTGGATTCTGTCTTGTTGCTGCCGAGACTGGCAACTGGGGCAACCTTGGGGTTCCAGAACTGGCGAACGGGGCGACGGTTCACGTTGACTCCTTGCCAGGCTTGCTGTGCAAGGATGGGACTGTTCAAGGACTTGTCGAACCGAGATCTGTTGACTCCACAGTGTCTCCAGATACACGCAAATGTCTCCACCGGGTACTTCGGAAACGGCATGCAAAGAAGCACAAGAGGAAGGGATCGTTGGCGGGTGGTGAAGATGGCAGAATGGGAACGAGGCAAGACTCCGAAGATGGCGCCGAAAGAGCACTGAGATTGGAAGCAAAAGGTCCAACAAGGTCTGGAAAAGCCTGTTTTCCTTCGAAACACGAACGACTGTGCGAACGGCCGTGGTGCTGAATGGTTAGGCTGGCGCCTGAGCTACTGTACGGACGGAACGCACGGCTAGCCGTCAACTGTTGCTGAAGAGCACGGTGAGTGAGCATGAGCCTGGACATTCATACACGTGCGTCGACGCTATCTCAGCTGGGTTGATGGCAGTCCGGGGGTACTCAGTTGACCCATAGGAAGCTTCGAGCTTACCGACCACACACCGACCACAGACTCTGGAAAAGGCTCTTGACATTGACCCAGCCGAAACACTCAGAGTTCAGATGTGGCTCATGATTGTTCAAAGGGCACTTGATGGGAGGAATCAGCTTCATCAGAAGCTCGGGTTGGTCCTCATGCCCGAACAGCTTCAGCAGACCTTCAGAGACGTCTCGAGTTTGTCAATGGACGAAGGCCGCGTGCCATCAACGCCACAACCGACACAGGCTGGCGAAGGATGATCTCGATGGCAGCCTGAAGAGGCAATGAGACGCAAAGAGGCGAAGAAAAAGAAAGCCGACGAGAGTCCAGACCGTTGGAAATGAGACGGAGGCAGTACGATCGGCGCGATACGTTTATCGGCAGGTGGCTTGACGATTGAGACTGGTGAAGATCGCTTGACTGACATTTTCACAGCGACCAGGACGACGTTGAACGTGAGTGGCTGATGCTCCCACCCGATGCGCCGGGATGCGACGCAAAAATTTCCCGTTCAGCCACGGTTACCCTGCACGTCTAGCGTTTTTCGACCGTCTCCGTACGATTGCGAGTGTCTCCGCCACACAGAGTCGAGACGGTACTGTGGATACCGTTTACCGGGCCTTCTTACGGATGTGAGGTGGGGAGACTTTGAGAGGGGAGCAAGGGGGGGCCGTTCCACCGTTACATTTGGCGGCGGGCGACCAAAAAAGACGACTCACTCACACACCAACTCAATCCTGGGCCTGAGTTACATCGCATCATGTGGCTGCTTCGCTGCGGCAACATTGGACGGACAGGGAGGGCCGAAGCCGCTCTGTGGCTTGACCATTGACATCGGCCGGCCAAACTCTAAGGTTCTTTCTTCCTTTTTCCTTCTCTCACTCCATGTCTCGGTGAGCACTTTTGACGACGCGAAATGAAGTCAGGATCCCAGCATGATCCCGTCAGGACATTGAAATTCTGAATGCGTTGTCTCTGGGCAGAATAAACTAACGCTAGTTAAGCCCAGGAGAAACGACGCATGGAAAGCAAGGCACAACGAGTATTGTCTGCAGTAGTCTCTGGCGCCGTCGCTTTCCAGCTGCGTATCCAGCCACTTCTTCCAGGTCCTCCAGCCGACACTCCCACGCCTTCGTAATTCGCTCCCGATGACACTAGCCTCTGGAAGGAATGGGCAACCACACTGTTGACTGTACTGGTTGGGTGGGTGGAGAGCACCCCACCGTCGCATTGGAGATTTGCCCCGTCACCGAGATCAACGACGCCAGACGTGAAGCGTGAAACAGACGGAGGCTAGTGGAAATTGGCGCTACAAACGGTTGCTGGCCACCGTCTCCGCCCCTTGGCATGCTTGACGGCGGATGTCACAACACATGGCTCTGCCTGTTTTTTCGACGCTACTCCACACGAGCTTGGCAGTTAGCGGGTGGCTGAGGGCATTGATGGTGTGCTGAAACCAACGACACGCGCTAAGTCTGTCAACAGAGTTGATTCGCAGTTCTATCGAGGCTTGGGATCATTGGCGTTCTCAGGCCCTGTAGGATACGTCCATTGAGTATGGGGGGAGTGTCAGCATACTGAGATATGAGTGAGGTAAGTTGAGGGAAGGTGAGGGCGCGTGTATGGGAACTTGTCACCGATGGCTGCAGCATCTCATCATTTGATTGGTCTTGGTCAAGTATCATTCGTTAAAAGAAACTGTTCAGAATGCTTTGGCTAACGTCGAATAGGATACTCATAAAACTTCCCGAAATAGCGTCCGTATCTCATGATGTCGATGATGCACAAATCCTTCATAATACACGCGGCAGATGGATCCCGATATCCCATCCGTCCACCAACTCCTCGAACCCTTGCTGGCCCAACCGTTTCTTTTTACGGTTGGGCTGTAAAAGCGGGCGACAAAAAAAGAAACCCACACATTCCATCAGACTGGGTCGAAAAGCATTTCGCCCACTGTTCAGACCCGCGACTCCGTGTTGTAAAGAAATTCGACGATAAGAATGTCGTTTTAAGATTGGTCCCTGTGGAAAACGTCTCTCAGTTCCTGATTAAAAGACGAGGTAAAGCCCATTAGCCCATCTTGAACTTGGCTACAAGCTACTAACTAGCCCGTGCTTGCCTGCGAATAAGAAGCGAGGACGAATCGGAGCTCTACCTAGCGCAGACAAGAGGGAGGGCCGTAACTGTGGAGGGTGAGGGGGAAGATAGAGAAATGAGTGGTACTTACAAGAGAGCCAGCTCGAGGTCACCGTGAATGCGTGCCTTCAGCGTGATCTCAATGTCGAGGTTGAGATCAAGACGCAACCGAAGGGTGTCGCTCTTGTCACCACCACCGCCGCCTTGCTGTTGCAACGCACCACCAGCAACGTTGCCTAGTGTGTTCTGCACGCCGTTGGTCACGCCGCCAACATCACCAATGCCACCGAGGTTGTCGAGAGGGCCACTTGATTGCTGCTGGCGTCTCTGCATCTGCCTGCGTTGCGGGCGCTGACGGCGCTGAGGCTTCTGCTGCTCGCTGGGTGCTTCCGAGGTCTCATCTTCGGAGGCGTACTTAGTGTTGTTCTTGTCGCGGGGGGAGGCCATTGTGACTGATGAGTTTGATGAAGTTGATGGTTCAAAGACGGGCGAATGGACTTTCCTTGGTGTGAAGGAAGGGAGAACTGATATTAAGGGCTTTTTGTCTACCGGTAAGTTTGGAGTGTCTCTTCAAAGTCTGATTCTGTCCATCGACTCTGGATGAGGACGCAACATATAAGTGATTCCGGACAGTATCCGGAAGGGGTCAAAACAGGATGTAAAAGCTTACACCCTTTCCAGCTGATGAGATCATGTTGGACCCTGGGGCATCCAGGATTCCCATCTCTCACTGCTCTCACCCCTTCTAGATTTGCGTCACACCACTCGACTCTCTCGATGTTCTGGACCGAAATGACGTTGAAGAGGGCCAAGCGGCATGCGTGCGGAGGGGAGGGGGGGCGGATTCACTGGGGCCGCTGGGGCATTGGTCTTGTCTCATGCTCGATGCGTCCCCGATCTGCCTATGCCGTCGAGGAGGAAGCGCGGCCAACCCAGCCCAACACATCCCGGCGCTCCCAAAAAACACCAAAGAGGTCGAGATGGTGTCTGCCATCCCTGTTCCTTTTCGGATTCAACGCGCACCTTTCGCTGGCTTGCACCCAATCATGCATTATCAGACTCGCACCACGGACTTGCGATCACTGGTGCCGCCAATGCAGGCATGACGTAGCATTACTCTATTCCTGCAACTAAACAAGCTTCTTGTAAGTTGGTTTGAGCTTGCAAGCTTGCTGAATGCTATGCACTGACGATGTACGGGCTCACGGGTTACAGATGCCAACTATTCCTATCCTTGCAAGCTGCAGAACGCCTAGAGACCTGTTCTATTTGCACGTTCCCCCCAAAGCTCCGAGACTCCTGGATTCCCCCCGGATTATTCCAAAATTTGACACACACTGAGTTTATCCTTCTCGATGATCTGGCTCGCCTATCCTTTCACGTAGGCGCTTTCAATGCCTAGCGCCATCTGCCGCCTGAGAGCTATCTCCATACAGTCCTCGGGATCATAGCCCTCCCGCAACCGCCCATCCGGATCCCAATATGCAGCCCACCTGCCGTCCTCCTCCAGTACGGCTACGAAGCCGAGCCCGCTTCCTCTGAGTGAGAGATACCTCTCATCGTCAGTCCAGCCCCAAGGTCCTATAACATGGCCTAGGGTATCTTTGCGGCCCCCGTGGCGGAGTGCTCTGCTGTCGGCGTCGACGTAAATCCAGTTCAACATGGGCGGGTCTTCCGCTATCGTTGATACCAAGGCGCGCATTGGTGGTTCGCTGGGGTAGTTGAAGTAATACCCTGAAAACTTGTGCCCTGGAGCCGGTGCCAGACTATGACTTATCCATATCTGCGGGGGAGGATGTGCGTGTTAGCCCAACTGAGATGCGTCGCAAGGTTTCCAAGTTGGCGAGGGAGCTAGTGTAAGTCAAAACACGCGGCGAGGTTGGCCGAGTGGGTGTGCCAACCCTCGCAAAGGGTAACGGGGAAAAGAGAAAAGCAAGGAAAAAGAGAAAGAGCATGCAGATGTCTGCAGACGCGGGAACGGGGGTCGATTGGCGATCGAGAGGGAAGTCGGAGGGAGTGTGAAGGGCGTTGGATGTGGGCTGTTGGCTGTTGGTTTGTGGGCTTTGCTCACCTTGTTGTCAACAACGATACATGGGCACTCTTCTTGCTTGCCGTCAATGGTCATTGTCGCCGTGAGGCTGAACTTGGCCTGTTCTTTGGCAGCGGCATTCTGCTTCTTCTGAGCGCTTACGGCCTGACCAGTGCCGATGACTGTGGGTATGGCGGCGATGGCGAGCAGACCGATAACCATGTTTCGAACTTGTTTTCCGGAACGGGCGACTAATAATGCAGGAAGGGTAAAGTGGGAATCAAGGGACGAAAATCCGGGCGAGTGACTGTGGGCGGTGGGAGACGTTGGCCTTTTCGAGTGAGAGTGGGCACAGGCACGAGCTCAAGTGAGTTGAAGTCGAGGGAGTCAAAGTTCTTTGGAGCCTCGCCGTTGCCTGTTCACAACTCGAGGTCTGCTTCGTGTCGCGTCGGGACTCGGAAACGTCAAGTTGGCCCAAGCCGTGGGGTCAAACCGGTGCGAGCGTGTGTATGGATCAACGGATTTGCAATGATCGTTGGGACGTGGTTCGGGGCCGAGTTACTCTCTTTGCTGCTGGAGTCCTGAAGATCGATACCGGAATGTCACTGTCTCAGAGGGCTTCCGAGGGACCTTCTTTGATGGATTCTCAGAAGAAACAGGTTTACGGGGTACGCTCTATGGGGTTCGTGTGGTCATCATATCGAAAGGCTCACGCACGCCCTGTGCCTCACGTCTCTTCTCCTCCCCGCGGCGAGGAGTGGCTGGCAGGCGTGGCAGGTCTGGGCTGGCTGGTCTAGCGGTCACGGCACGGTACGGTCAGGCATCGAATATCCCTCTCCTTCTCCTCTCTCAGGTTCTCTCTCACTCTTCTTCACAAAAGTCTGCGGGCCACATGCACCCGGCGCCTAGACGAGAAGAGAAGTGGAAGTCATTCTAGATCGAGATGCCCGTTTCGGGTACCCCTATCTAGGGTCAGCCCACACCCAATGCTCACGTTTGGTGTGGTCCACAATATGCATGTCTAGACCGTTCGCTGTTCTCTGCATACTCCATTTCTTTTTTTGCGGTTCGATACTTTGATACATTTTACGAATCCTCTTTAAAGTGCAATACATTCACACCCCATCGACGTCATTCTCTCGAGAGGATTACACTCGGGCTTAGTCTGCTTTGACTTCAGATCCCTCCCCATCCTTCACTCACGCTAGGTTCATAGACTTTTCCAACATGATCGACCAGGGTAGCTCCCGAAGCTCTTTGCTCGCAACGCAGCAGAGTGCTGAGTTTCGACCAACCACGGCTCAAGCACGCATTTCGGGTCCCAGCCCGTCGACGTCACCCTCTCAATCCTCATTCTCTTTTGCTTGACTACCGTTATTGCTAGACTGCTTTATCGCCTAATGCCAAAAGACCTCTTACACGCCCCCTCACTTCTTGTGTCTAGGGACCCTGTCGATCGGAAAGGACGGGCTGGCTGCAGTTTAAGTCGCCTACTTGCCTGCTCGCTGCTCTTCCCGTACCAGGTGCCAGCATACGGTGAGCTTTACCACAGGTGAGGGAGTTCGGACAGCCGCTGCTCCCCCGAAGCAGAAGATCAAAAATCTTGATTCTCATCCAAAACCTGTATCGAATGTGATATCACAGCGGCGGGTCCAAGTCTATACACGTGTTTGCCAGGAGGTACACGTCCCTCCCCTTGTACCGTTTCTCCAGTATTGTCTGCCAACAGTGACATTCTCCCCTCGGAAGTCAGAGGGCATTCTGGGTCTCGCGAAGGTCCAGACCTCATTCGATTGTAACCCGTTGCCTCTCTCGAGTCTCATTCCCACCCGCCCATGCCACTTTTTTTTCTTTGACCAACTTTTTGCTGGGTCCCCTTCTTTTGTGCCAACGCTGCCTGTTCACCGGGTCCCCCTTTCCCCCATCCCCGTGTATGGAGTAGGTAGTGCGTAGGCGTGTGTAAGCCCGTGGTTCCCACATTCACACCCTATTGCGTCACAAGAGACGAAGATCCGGATTGCGGTTCAGCCTCGCTGTCCAGTGTCCCTGTGTCCCTGTGCAGAAATTCCTGTTTGATGGCATTGAGGGGGGGAGGGGTGTGAGGTAATGATGCTGTTAATTCTCATGGCATCCGATTTAACTTATACCAACCTGTGTACCTAGCTTTCCCCCAATCTTCTTAGATGACCTTTTTTTTCTTTCCAATTTTGAAAAAGATTCCCATATTCATTGAACAAACTCACTCTGATCTCTTTTCACTTTATTGGAAGGGGGGAGATATCTAAACACATTGAGCTAAACGCCTACTACACCGCGACCACCAAACTCAACTCATACCCCATCTGAATAGCTTCACTCGAGAAATCTCACTGAAAGGGCAATTGAGAGGTTCTCATTTTCACATACCAACAAACCACCCCCGTCAGATTAATGGACTCGGACACAATGGCCAGAAACAAGAACAAGGTAAGCCGCTCATCCACTACGACACACTCCCACTGTAAGTCACGGTGTTAATGGTGAATTCCTCTAGAAGGGCCAAGGCCAAGGCGCCGCCGGCAACCAGAGCCAGCCGGGCAACAGCAGCAAGCCCGAGGAGACCAAGCCCGAGGAGCAGCAACAGTCTTCCCTAGACCAAAAGACGGAAGAGCAGAAGCCAGAGGGCACCACACCGGTCGGGGAGTTCGGTAACCCCGCAGAAGGCGAGGGTGCCCCCACCACCGATGAGAAGAAGGCCGAAGATAGCAAGCCGGAAGACGCGGCTGCCAAGACGGACGACAAGACACAACAAGAAGATGAGAAGAAGCCCGGCGACGACGTGAAGCCCGAAGATGCTGCCGCCGGCGCCGACACCCAGTCAAAAGACAAGAAGCCCGAGACGGAAGAGCAAAAGCCCGTTGGCCAAGAGACCACGGACAAGAAGCAGGCCTCGTCAAACCAGGCCGGCGTCGAAGACGAAGCGGAGCCAGAGTCCGTTGTCGACAACGACAAGAAGCCCGCCGCAGGAGGCAAGGAGCAGGAGCAAGCAGAGCCCGCAAAGGTACGCTCCCGCGACTCTGGCCGCACAGAACGAGAAGCTGACCTCGAGGAGCCCACTGAACTCCAAGACGGCGAGGAAGAGTATGCCGAAGGCGAGGAAGGTGAGGGCGAGTACTACGACGACGACGAGGAATTTGAAGAAGGCGAGGACGGCGAGGTCTACGACGACGACGAGTACTACTCTGGCGACTCGCAAGACGAGGGCGAGTACGACGACGACGAGGACTACGACTCCCAAGAGGAGGAAGAGGACGACGGCGGCAACTACACGACTGCGCAAAAGGGCGGCAACCAGAACCAGCAGATGATGCAGCGCCAGCGCCAGCAGCAGATGCAGCAGCAGCAACAACAGCAGATGATGATGCAGCAACAGCAGCAGCAGCAGATGCAGGGCGGCGGCGGCGGCGCGGGCAAGAACCCGCTCAAGCTGAGGCTTGACCTGAACTTGGATATTGAGATTACGCTCAAGGCCAAGATCCACGGTGATTTGACGCTGGCATTGCTGTGAGTATTCCCTCTTTTCCTCTCTGTTCACGGTTGATTTATGTCTTTTCTCCGGATCTTTTTCCCTCTCTTCTTGTTGGTCAATGCTTTGTTACCCCAAATCTGCAGTGGTGTCCGCGATTCAGATTTTCTGCATTTGCTGCCCACTGCGCTTCTACCTGCTGTCGAACTCTGTCATGTAATGCCATCACCGTTTCCCGTGTGGGGACCGATTATCGGGCCTCGCTGGGGGGCAGTGTTCGCAGCGGCGAGTCACCCAGAATATTTCTCAAGTCCAGTCTCCGTTGTTTTTCTTTGTCTTTTTTGACGAGAGCTGGCAAACTGTGGGAGAGGATAGGAAACGGTTGTTCCCTATCCTACACACAAACACCTCCACAATTCTTCTGGGCCGAGGTCGGTGATGCATCTCGGCAGGCGAGGCAGTAGCACGAAAGTTCCTGCGCAGTCCGTAGACCGTTTTCTTTTATGCAGCATCCGTGTGCCCCTCGGCCATCAGACCCGAGCGAAAGCGGTTTAGGAGAGACTGACCGCGACGGTTTCTCCCTAGATCAATGTAAAAAAGCATGTCGACAACCACCACAGACCCGAGATCAACAAGGGCCGCTCAACGCTCTGGGCATTCTCTTTACGTCATCTTTGCGTTCGAAAAAGATTCGAATTCCTTGTCCACAAGGCTAACTGCATAGCGACATGATGTAGAGATGGGTAATCGCGTCTACCACGACAAGCACTCCCCCTGCTTTTCGACAGCGGAAGCGGGAGTGTCCAGCATCGAAATCAGTCATTACGATCGAAATGTTTCAACATACCACAAATTTTAACGGCATAAAGGCGAAAAGCTTTCTGCAGAGAGGGAGAGGCGTAAGCGGGTATAGGATTTTTTGTTAACGAGTTTTCTTTGTTCATTCTTACAGAACGCGAGACCGCTTCGTGCGTGTTTGCTTGATAGTCTCCGTTTAGAAGACGGTGTTATTTTCGGATGGGGAAGTTTGTCGGTGTGCCAATACGTCCCACAGCGAATCGAGCTTGTCAGACTTAGCGGCGGATACGATCTGGTCCCCAGTGTAATTTTAGCCGCCGAAATGAGATTTTTATGAACCCACTTTGACAGGTGTTCGTCGTCTTCTATTCTCCACATTCGATGAGCTAGTCCAACTTTCCGAACAGTGTAGATTGCTGGAACTTCCATTGCGGAATCCAGCGGATGACCTGAGAATGTGTACCGTCCGTTAGATTCTGGTTTACCATTCCGTCAAGTGTCAAACAGTGAAGTGAGCTACTACTCTGAGTATCGTGAACGGTGAAGATTGTCTTGACTAGCAGGGGCCGTGGGCCAATACGGCGACCTGCATTCTGGCGAGTCTCGTATCATGCCCGTGGACGAATATGCGAGGATTCGCACCCGTCGGCCGTGGTGAGAGGGTCAGTTACCGGTGAATATCTCTAAGGTGTGGCTGGTGTGGTCCCGGTCAATATGCGGTGCTCGTACCCGATGCGTGCGCTCCCGCATCATCGACATCACGAGGATGGCAAACCGCGCCTGCCCAAAGCCCATTCACGTTACCCGATCCGCGAGGTTGGCCGAGTGCAGCATCACAATGCAGTAAGAGTGAAGTGCCAATGCGGTCGAGGTCCAATGATGAAACATTTCAGCCTCATCAGGTGTCCACCGGGCAGAAGCAGGTGCAGGGGATAAAACCTGTTTTTTGCGAGTTCCTCACGATGTTGACAGCGGGCGATCGCAGGCCACCCCCTCCCAGGCTCCCCAGGGGAACGGAAGAGGCACCACGGCTGGGCCAGAAAGACGGTACTCATGTACTCAACGGATGACCCGCAATGATCTAGACCGATGGCAGAGATTCTGCTCCATATTTTTGAGTCGTGTCCCGTACCGCTTTTCGCCGCCGCCGCGTCGTATCCGCGGGATCGATCATATTTGGGCACGTTATGGCGGGAAGCCAAGCTTGGCGGGAAGAGTGGTCGTCGGGTGGGTGCAGTTCCAAAAGGCAAGAACGGTTGGTAGAGTCTGTTCGGACGACGTCTGGTAAGACAACCGTGCCAGAATAATGGGATTGTGTGACCGGTCAAAGTCGCAAGCGTTGAGCGACTTTGATTAGCGTTGTGTGTCCGCCGTTGCACAAACGCTGTCGTTAACCGACCTCCTTTCCGACTGAAGCGAAAGAAGCTGCCCAGAGGTGAGATCATCGCTGGAGCTATGACCAAACTGCCCGCTCGAACTGGACAATGAGTGACGGGGGAGAGATTGCGCTTGGGAGGGGGAAGCTCTGTTGACAGGGGACGCGTGGCATACCCGAGACGTCCGGAGGAAAAGCGCCGAAGGTGAATAGCATCTCTTTGCATGGTCGTCCAACCATCCTGCCGTCTGTGCCGTCGTCAGGGGGTGAGAACGGAGTCGCAAGGGGCGCTTGGCCCATACAACGTCAGGAGCGGGGCAGCTGCGGGGAAGAGTGTGGCGCCGACGCTAGGAAGGCAGCCACATTTGACAAAACGGCGGGTGATCTACGAGAAAACGGTGGGAAACACTCCGTTATCAACCTTGTCTCCGTGTTTCGTCCACAATAAGTGTAAGGGTAATGCCGTTATTGCAGTCGGATCCAGGATAACAGAAGACTTCTCCACCAGAGAGTTCAGGCCGGCAGGCAGAAAGATGGCTGAGTGTGGCGCTTGAGCGTTTGTCTTCTGGTGTGGTGGTGCTGTGGTGGTGCTATTGCTGGTCGTAGTAGAGCTTGTAACCAGAACTCTCAAATTCGAACTAGGCGGCGTTGAGGGTTGCATGCTATGTTTTGCCCTCCATCTTGATCGTTGTCGTCGAAGGCATGTGTTGCTGGACGTCTCGAGCTGATGTGATGTTGGCGGCGAGGTTGTATTCGCACAGAAGTCGAACATGTGCATTCTGGAAACGCATGTTGTCGTCGGTAAGGCTATTCGCGGTAGATGGGATTTCAGCTGTAACACCCGGGCCGCATAGAGTTTGCACCACGCACGGAAATACAACGTCGGATCGCAGTGGTGCTAGATCGGGGGCGGTTGTGAAAGTTGAGTGTGACAGGGAGAGGGAGAGACGGGCGGAACGTGCGTCACTGGGACGGGACAACGGCAGCCGATGAGACCCGCGTCCGCGGCGGAGGATAAACTAATGTTCCTCAGGGAGTGAGATTAGATACGGGCTGATAAGATAGCTAGATATCGTGGCTGGACTTGGTGGCTTTCACTATTGTGGCAGAAGCGGGGTTGTGGCTGGACCTCACCTTATCGCGGGGCCGTGTGTGGGGCAACGACGCATGAATGGGAGCATGAAGCATGACGGAGCTCCAAACCCAAGCAACCCAGACAAATAAACAGTCTGTTGCGAGATTGGACGACCTAGGACGTGTTGACCGCGACCACCAAACAAAGCAACAAACAATCACGCGTTTGAGCTATATCGCAGCTATTATCACGCAACTCCTGACCCAGACAGAAGCTTCATTCTCGCATCAGCTTCGCATCAGCGGTCGAATTACAGCAACACCCATCACCAACATCACCAACATCACCAACCTCATCACCTTCAGTCACGATGCCCGACCTCAACTCTGTTCCGGCCTCGCCACATCCTCATAGCACCTCGCGGCGCTCTTCTTCTCATCAGATGCCGCCTCCTCCACTTCCAGCGCAATCTTCCGACTCCTCGGCCCTCAACATCCTTCCGTCAAACCAGAACACAGTCAACCATCCGCCCTCCAACCCTCCCGTAGGATCTCCACCGATGGCTCCAGCAGTAGCAGCATCGCCACCAGCCTTCCCTGAGCCCTCTGTCTCCGGCCCAGGCCCCATCCGTCACCCGCGACCCATCACCGCGTCCGATCTTCACATGCAGTTGGAAAAAGAGCAAGAGGCAGTGGTGCGCCAGGCAGACTTACACGCTCCAGGAATACCAAAGGCTAACCACGAGTGATAGGTGAACCGCCTTACACGAGAGCTCCAACTTCTTCGAACAGCGCAGAACGCCTCCGTTGCATCAAACGCCTCTTCGACATCAGCCTCGAACACGACCGAAGCACCCGACACCCATCTCCTCTCCGGCGCCGCTTTCTCCACCCCCGCCGTCCCGTCTAACAGCTCCCGCCGACACCACCGCACCGCGTCCAACGCCAGCACCCGAAGCCAAACCGCCGTAGCGGGCTCAGCCGCCGCATCCACCATGTCCATCCCCATCGCCCGGCCCCCACAACCGGGTCGCCAAGATAGCGTGGCCTCCCGTCACAGCTTATCGTCCTCGCCGGCACCGTCGCAACACTATCTGGACCCGACCAGCACCAGTGGCCTGACATACTTCCAGCAGCAGCGTCTGCCGCAGCAGCATACCGGTAACACCTCGGTCGCCGCCACGCCCGGCGGCAGCGAGGCGCAGCTTTCGCCCGGCCTAATGGCCACGACGTCGCGGTACGAGGAGACAGCATTGCACCGACAGGAACTAGAGAAGGCCAAGCAGGAGAACGAGGTGCTGAAGCAGAGGATTCGAGATCTGGAGAAGATGGTCAGGGAGAAGACCGCCGCCGCTGGAAGGGAGCGGAGCGAGAGTACGAGCAGCGCAAACGCTTCAGCTGCGGCTGCGGCGGATGCCACCAGCGTTGGCGTCACTACTGGAGGTGCTGGTATAGCCGGCTCCAACAGACGTCCTGGAGGTGAGAGGGAGCGGTCTTTGACGGCTATGAGCATCGCGAGCAGTGTTGCTGTTGGTGTGCCTGATGAGGAGGTGCAGGTTGGTGAGAGTGCGGCGAGCTCTGGCGTGAAGCCCTGAGAACCGTCGACAGTGGAGGCGGATGTTTCCTTATTCAAGACATTGCTAGCGATGAGATTATTGTGAATGAATCATGGGTCATGACAACACTGAGAAAGGCGTTTGGGAATTGCAGATGAGGGAACTTGCCCTCACAAAGGGGCGAATCCGGCTCACGACTTTTCATAGTAATAGAGACATTGAGCCATCACGGATTATGAACTTGCATTATTACAGAAGCATTTTAGTCTGGGCGTGTCAATCTCTTGTTCCTAGTTCGATTGAAATGAGTTTTGAACGGATAGAGTTGAGTTCTAAAATGAAGACGATTTTAACGGGTTGTAAAAGTGATGGCCTAATTCGAGGCATTGGAAATAATTTGAATCTCAAGATATTGCTTTCAAATGCAATGTTTCTTTTCCTTGTACTAAGTATAAAGCGATACAAACATCATCTTGACAGAACCGGAGAGAAATCAATGCAATTTACAGCTACATCAGATTTCTGAAAGCTTCATGTAATTCCAAAGAGCTACACAGTCCGCATTGTCGACTTGCGGTTTCGCAGTACCCATTGCTGAGCCTATTGATCCATTGCTATTGCAAGGCCTTGCTTCAAGAATATGACTTGACCATATATCACATCTACTGGAGAGTTAACTCAAGCTTGGACGATCCACAGATGAAAGGTTCGAGGTCATAATGAGAGCCATCTTGATGATGCCATGTAGTCAAGTTGCTGAGTGGCTCTCACTCTTTCGAGTCCAAACCCTTAGCTTTGAAGACACCTTTTTCAAGTTCATTGGATTGCGATTAATTTTGTTCAAGGTCAATCACTTAGTCGAAGAAAGACTCGGTACCAGCCTACGAGGGGAGTTCTTGACATATTACAAGTGTTCACCACCCATACCGACCAACACACAGCATCATGTTGATGAGGAATCTCTCATTCATTCGTTATCTCAATCTTTGCCTTAAGGGCGGTATCTCGGTATCATTCCAAGACTTCATTTTCCTCCAGTGTGGTGCACTCCCCAGTATTCAGATAGGTCGTAAACCGGAAAAAAGAAAGGCCATCCTCCTCTCCTCCAAGAAACGATCCCCATCTAATTCCAAAGATCACACTGACACTCATTACCAGACCAGAACTCGAGACGAGTAAACTTGCACTTGGGCAAGGTCCCGCGCTTGCAGCAGTGGTTGCAATCCGCATCCACCAAACAAGTCAAGCCCTTCCAGTTCTCAGTGCAGGGCTTACACTCGCACATACCCTTCTCACCGCACAGCAGGTTCCCCTTGCCAGCACAGTCGAGCGCGCTCGAGTCGCAGTCCCGGCTGCCACTGCACATGAAGGAGCGGCAGCGGCACGTGTCCTTTTCGCAGACCGAGACCTCGTACTCTGTGCACCCGATCGTGGCGCACTCCTTGTGCGCGGTACACTTGTCGCCCTCGGCGAGACGGCGGGGAGGCTTCTCGGCGGCACAGGCGCAGAAGTTGGCTTCCTTGTCGAGGGGGCCGTCGGGGATGGTGCAGGACTTGTAGGGCTTGTCTTGGAAGCAGCGGATCGTGGAGCAGTCGTCGTGCGAGGCGCAGCCGACGCCTTCGGATTGGTAGTAGTCGCACTGGCAGCCGCCCGAGAGGCCGACGCCGCCGGTGTCGTCTGAGGTAGGCTTGACGCACTTGCCGCGGCGGTTCTTGGTGCCGTCGCAGGGGAGGCCGTCGCAGTGGGAGTCGACTGTGCAGAAGGCGCCGGGCTTGAGGGCGAGGGCATCGCATAGACAGATGGGGTCTGCTCCGGGGAAGTCAATGAGCGGGCGACAGGCGGAGAAGTGGTTTGCGTCGCACTTCAGGTGTTCGCAGTCTGCTGGCGCGGTGCAGGGCTCGAAGAGCTTGGGGCGGTTGACGCAGCGGCAGATTGACTTGGGATTCGCGCCCTTAGTGATACAAGCGTATGTCTGGTTACTACCACAGGAGAGGGAAGAGCAGTCCTGGGTCGTGTTGCAGCCGATGATGGAGGTCTGGGAGGGGTCCCAGGCCGAGAGGGTGACGGTGAACAGCGCGGAGGCTGTGGAAGAAGAACCGTTCTTGGTGGCTGTGGGGAATAACCAATCGTTATCACCGGTCCAGGAGGTTCTTGAAGTAGAACCATTGGAAGAGATGCTGCTTGTCGGGGAGTCTGTGGACAACGTGATGAGGTTTGTCGGGGATGTGTAGTTCACAGGCAACGCAGTGTTGGTGTACATCCCAGGCACCGGAGTGGCTGGAGTCTTGGTGTAGCTGAGGCTCTCGGAGAGGACACATCGACAAGCACCATACAAGCAGGCACCGAACCGGGGCTGAGGGCATGCAAGAGAGCCGCACTCGGCGTCGGCGGTACACGCCTGGGTAGGGCGCGGGAGCAAGGAGGCGGCCGAGGCGGCAACGGAAGACGCGGAAGCGGCAGCTGACAACGAGTTATGCGCCAACAGACAAGCCTCGACCTCACCACCTTCATCTTCCTGACGACGGTGCTTCGACGGGGGCGGAGGCGGAGGCGGCTTGGTGGATCCGTCTGCGATGATAACCTTGTTGCCAGAACC